CAGCTGGTTCCACATAGTAGTGGTGCGCGTTTTTTATATAAACAAGCGGGCAGGAGGCGCGAGTGCGTTGCCAGCCTTTACTAGTATTACGCTACGATGAACATGCTTGAGTGCATGAAATAGTGTGTAGGTGCATGTAAATGAGTGTGTGGGTGAATGTGAGTTGAATGAGTGAGTAGCTACAGTATAAAGAATTGTACATCATGTAAGCACACAGAGGCCTAAATAACAGCCTGGCCACGGGACATTCGCCGACGCGAATATTCGCGCGGTGCGAACCGCGATGCGTCTAGCGACTGAAATAAACTCATAGCAATGTACTAATCAAGCCACGCGCAACGGCGACCAGCGATGCGACCGGCGAAATGTACCGAGCGAATCGCGCGGGCGACTGACGTCGCGACGGGCGAGCGAAACAAATGCATGAATCAGTACGGTGCAAGCCACGGAGTCGAGCGGCAGTCGCGGCGAATAGAGAAGGGAATAAATAAGTTTAGTCGTGGTCGCGGCGAAAAATGAATACAGAGTTTTTTGTTACTGAAATACTGGCTAGACCAGCTATTTGGAAGTCTGGCCATCCACAGCATTAATTTAATATACCTTAATCTCAAAAACAATTTTTCAGCGGAACTTAAAATCTATTTGCATTAACTTTTTTCTCTAATTCTGGTTGAATATTCATAAGAATATAATTGAAGGTTTCAATACTCATTCTGGTATACTCAAAAAAATAATTCTGGATATATTCTGAATTTCTCATACTTCTTGTGGAATTCTCCACAATTTCTCCAAATATTAGGTCTTGCACCAAAAGCTATTACTTTCCAAGCAATATCGAGATGATTTCGATAAAGACATTTCGCTGTCGAACTTCCTTACTGGTCGCGGCGGCAAACGTGACTGGTCCGTGGCCTGCAAACGGCCCCGCGCGAATGGTCGCCTCGCCTCCCGCATCGCACCGCCGATCCCCGTGGCCAGGCCGTAAGGCCGCGGTAAAGAGATCCAATCCAAAATCTGTTATAGCTAAAACTTTCAATAATGTTTGATTAAATTAATAAGCGTTGAATGATACCTATCTAGTATGGAATTCTTCAACTTGTCTCTAGAATTCCATAATTCTTTAATCGCCATAGATCGTGATCGCAGTTATCATCAACAATTATTGATAGGTATTATTAGAAAGGAATCCCAGATGTTAGTAGGAAGTAGTTAATTATTGAGGAAGTTGTATTGAGATGATAAATCTTTATGTAAGCCTTCGTAGGTACCATAAATAACTGAGGATTTTTTATATAATAATAAATTATAAGAAAACGTCTTTAATTATGTATTGCTTACATGCTTGGTTATTTCGACTATGTGTTTGCGTGTTGTTCCCACGAGAATGTAAGTGCGTGCTCCTATTTCACCATGCCTTCTGCTGATAGAGGACAAATCTTTGTTTTTAATGTATGTTATTATTATTAATTACTTAAAATGTCACATGGGTCATGGTGTAATAGTTGCAGCTCCTTACAAACATTTTGTAAAAAAAAAATGGTGATTAAAAAGAGTGGCGGAGAGTTTATTGCCTGTTCTTCTCTCCCGTTCCACGCCCTTGATTTGAGAACTGGCAGTAAATGTAAAATTAGAAGCATTAATATGTATTTCTTTACTGACACGTCATAAGTGTACATTATGTTACCTATGTGATTAAATAATTTTTTTATTTACTTTACTTCATAGTTGATGTGCCTAAAATAAAACAACGGCTTGTCATTGGACAAATGCCTCCACAATCGTGGCGTTCTCTACCGCTACCTTTTTCATATCTTATCTGCCTGCTTCTCTTTCGTTTACCACTCCGTTACGAATCTGTTCTATTGTATTTCTTTACTCTCATCATATGAAATGGTAGGGCAATTCCACTTTAGTTTTCGGTATGTGGTGTCTTTAAAATCAAAAAAGCGATTTAATATTTATGGTCGAGTATATGCCAATCCCCTTCTAACTATTTAGATATTAATGAATCTATGCCATTAAAAAAATGATATATGAAACAAAACCGTCAAATTAAATTGCAACTTTAACAATAAAATAATCAGATACATTTAAGTAGATTTAGTTCCGCCTTTTCACCGTATATAATATCAAGATAAATTAAGATATTTTGGAATGCAATAATTCTAAAGTGATTAGCGTCTTCATAGACACGCAACTCGTGTAAAGGTCTTTTAATTCTCATACTTTTAATGTCACTTGCCAAATAAGCAAGGGGTTTGTTAACCGATATTAAGTCGATTATAAGAGCCGTTCAGATCTTTTATTTCTTATGTAATTAGTTGCTAAGTTATGTCACCAAGTAATGCTGATTAAATATCTTTTTTACGCTTTGAGTGCTTATTTCTAAGTTAAAAATTAGTAGTAGCGGCATTGCTTTTAGTTATTTACACATAATTGCAGCAATACAGTCCAATTAAAATAATTAAACAAAAAGAAGGGCAACAAACGCTTTCGAGCGATCTCATCCAGGCATCCACTGTGAGAAAAAAAAATATTAGAAAAGATGAGCGCAAGAAGTACATAAGACACAAAATTACTTAGGCAAAACTAATGGAACAAAGCAACGCAATAAAAACAGGGATAATTTCAGATCAGTTAGTTGTTGAAAAGTATTGTTTTTTTAGTTTTACGTTTTTATTTTTTTCCTTGCTTTTGTGTGTTTTTCTATGCTTGTTTGGAATTTCCACGTTCTAATATAATGCCTATGTATATGACATTTTTTTAAATAACATTGTTTCATACTGAAATGTGTCTTCCCTAGTGCTATTACGGTTATGGAACTAACTAACAAGAAACTAGCAATAAATAGATAATAGAGAACCCGTATTAAATAATGTGTGAAAATTCTTTGAATGTCAAATCACTTCTTAAATCCAAGTATAGTACAAGGAAGATGTACGCAAGCGTCGCGTATACCGTATCCGGTCACGATTTTTAAATGTCGAATTCTTCAACTCGAAGACAATCGGTGAATACAATCGTTAATACACATGCAACGTGACAATTTGAGTCGTGATTCAGACACATTTTATATAATCATACTTTTAATTTTGCACAGTTCTAAATTTGAATATTTAAACTCACTTATATTTAGTCTCATTACACTGTATTTGTAGTGTAAAACATGTTATCTGTCTCTTTCAGATAAATTGTGTTTATGATCTATGGTTAAATAAAAGAGATCGTAATCTATAATATTCTTATCAGTTATTATTACAGAACATCCTTAATATTATGTAATTATCTGTTACAATGTTAACTACCATTAAACTTAAGAAGAGGAATCTTCAGAATATTACGGATCGGATTTCGTAACGTAGCTATACATCAGCAAACTTTTCCGCAACGGCTTGACCAATTTTTAAAAGGCACACTAACGAAACACATCCAAACACTTACAGGAAAAACACAATACATGCAAGTGCATAAATGACAAGTGTGCACATCATTTAGAGGGAAACATTACAATGATAAAAGCGACTAAAAGACAAAATAGATTAAGAAATATCTACAAATGTGTAAGTCAAAATTTAATAGATTTCTCTCTCTCTTTGCAATTGTTATTATCGGTGACGAATCAACAGTGGTTGAATCATCTTACGTCTGAAGACATGTCATTAAATGGATCTCCTTCGCATGTACTCAAAGTGTCGTTTACCTCAGATAGAGATCTGATTAGAGGATTACAACTGACGTTGGTCCTCACACCCGAATGTAAAAACTCATGTTTCTCTTTAAGAGGAAATTCACTTGACTTTTAACATTTGGTAAATCTAGTTATTTACAATTTTGTAAACAAAGATAATGTCATGTCTTTTTAAGAAACTTATTTTGTGTATATTCGATAGATTTGAGATAATCGAATCGCATTTTTAATAGACCCAACGAGTTTTTAATTTTTAATAGTGATATTTGTACTATAATACAGCCAGCTAGTATCAACACAATATAACAACATTTACCCCAAGCACTCGTTAGGACAGTGATAGTGTAAGTGAAACCTCCCTTGTTAAAAAATTAAACAACATATAACATAACTCCAATAATCTTAAACCTTTGACTAACTTTATTTTTTATATTAATATTGGTTTTATAAATTAATACAATATAAACATAGCAATCGTGAACAAAATACATTTTGCTAACGCGTTTTAGTAAGGGAACGACAAAACATTGAAGAGCCTGCTTTTAAAGGTACGTTTTCTATTATAAACAGAATATTTAAAATGTTTAGTTTTAATTTATAAAAAAAAAAAAACTGAACAATTTTCGTTTTTAGTAAAAGTTGATGGTTAAAATTATACGAATGTTGTATGTACATTAGATTACACATTTTGAAATTAGTTTCTGACGTATAACTAAATTAATTTTTTTAAACTTTAATTTATTTTCTAAAATATTATTTCATAAAAGTACAATTATTTTTTACTAGAGATAAAAAAATAGTATGTATAAATGAATGAAATTTGTGTCTTACATTTCATGTATAGTTTAGAAGCACCTTTTGATAGACTTGATTTATTACAGTTTTTATATAGTTTCATATTTTGAGCCGGGGTTCAGGAAACAATCCAATTTTACATTATTATCAAAATAAAACAACCAGTTTATTTTTATAGCGAAAGCCAAATTTTATTTACATGTTCATGTTTTTCAAAAATTAAAAACAGAAACCACAAATACGATACATAAATTAATTACATTCAGTTGTTTCATCATAGATATGCTAAATAAATAAAATATATCTATTTAATAACAATATACTACATAAAACAACTGGCAATTAGTACAATGAAATTACATAGAGCAAACAGCGGTTCTATTCATACATACATATACAATTTCTTTCAAGTAGTATAATAATAATACAATAAATATATTCCTAACAATATTATTTATTCTAATAATGTCCTTACAGTCTATACTCTACATTACGTATATTTAACCTATTTTAAGTTTCAGTAATATTGTTGAGGTGGTCCATCAAAGCCGTCGAAATTATCATATTCGGGAAACTGAATGGCACCTATTTTCGGATATACTGAAATTAAAATATTTAACTTTTAGACAAAGATCAGTATTGGTCTAGTGGCTTCAGCGTGCGACTCTCATCACTGAGATCGTAGGTTCGATCTGTGTACCGGCTGTGTACCAATGGATTTTCTTTCTATATGCGCATTTAACATTGGCTCGAACGATGAAGGGAAACATCGTGAGGAAACCGACATGTCTTAGACCCTAAAAGTCGACGGTGTGTGTCACAGGAGGCTGATCACCTACTCACCTATAAGATTTAAAAATGGACATGAAACAGATTCAGAAATCTGAGGCCCAGACCTAAAAGAGGTTGTAGCGCCACTGATAATAACTTTTAGATTGTGTAACTATGTAAGCTTATAATGTACCAGCATCGGTATTACAGAATAACCGCAATATATATAAGGCGCCGTTTACCTTGAACCTTTTTGGGTATAAAAGTGCTCTGTATGGAGAGATAAGTAACCTAACATTAGTTATGTTACATATATATTTTAGTTAATAATTAGAAGTGCAAACCAAATGCTAACAATCAACTTACACTTGTAGCCAATAAATTGTAAAACGTCAGTTTTGGTAGTAATAAATTAGCCCATTATATTTTCATACATTCATAAATATAACGAACCATAGGTCGACATATTATTTACACATATATTATTTATATGTAAGAAATGTGTCCCTTAATTTTAAGAACACATAAATAAGTCACAATTTTTTGTTAGTCCAACGCCGCTACCCCTAATTTTATATTTTAAACGATTAAAGACATAGAAAAACACTTTTCTAACGGATTTGAAGTTATGTTTTATTATAAATTTACAATTATTTTAAATAATTTGAAATTTAACCGGCGTTCCGCGAACTACGTTTTAAAAGACAATACTACGATTAAAGACAGTTGACATTAGCTTCAAAAAAAGACTGCATTTATTTAGGGAGTACTAACAATATCCTGATGGTTATAGGTAAACCCGAATGTGCTGTTTTGAGACATTAGGTTCATATACATGCCCGTGTACCAGGTGCCTCGAAACAACGTAGATATATGAATTAAATGTTTTCTTCTTTGTGTCTTTAATAATTTTGCTAATTTTAATTTTACTAACATAGTTATAAGTATTACTCTACTAACAATATATGGACTTTTAATGGTCTGAATTAAATAATTTTTATTTTATTTTTTTATTTTATTTCAACATCGCTCCGACAACCACCACCGAACTTAACTAGAGTAAAGAAGAATATATTTTGGATTTTTTAAAAATTTAGAGAATTTATTACAAAGAAGCCCAAATTTTAAAGCTCATTATCATATATACTTACAAAATGGTGAGGCGGACGGATAAACTTCGGGTATAAATTGTTTCTGCACTTGTACAGGTACGGCCACAGGTTTCGCGACATATTGTATGACGGGCTGTATCGGCTGTCGATGGATTTGTGGGGTCACGTGTAGACTAGGACTGCTCTTGGAAACCAGAGCATTGAAGCCGTGTATTGAGTCTGCAGTGTAGTCTACTGTTCTTATTGAGCCATCTGGCTCCACAAGAGAGTACTGGCCTGAAATGACAGAAAGGTTATAATTTGGTAAAAGTTTATTAGCGAATAAAATAAACAACGATTGTTAGGGCTTTTCTTTATATAGACAATATTATTTAACGTGTATTCTTTGAGAGCAGTTTTGGTGTAGAGGCTTCAGCGTGCGACTTTCATGAGGTAGTAGGGTCGATTCCCGGCTGTGCACCAATGGACTTTCTTTCTATGTATTTAGCATTTGCTTGAACGGTGAAGTGAAACCATCGTGAGGAAACCGGATTGCCTTAGACCCAAAAAGTCGATGGCGTGTGTTAGGCACAGAGGGCTGATCACCTACTTGGCTATTAGATTGACAAATGATAATGAAACAAATACAGAAATCTGAGACCCATACCTAGGTACCTAAAAAGGTTGTAGCGCCACTGATTAATTTTTTCATGTATTCTTTAAAAGTAAATAAGTGGTGTTTGAATTACTTTTAGTGAAATTAAAAATTTAGGTTTTAGATTTAAAAAAAATGCATAAGTACTCCTCATCTTTACTTTATAGAGAATTTCTATACCCAAAAAGATTCAACGGCGGTTTTATTTTACACGAGTATCGTTAGCAAAACCTATTTTCATCCCATTACAAATGAAAATACTTGTTTAGAACCACGTATACCCCTATTAGTAAGTAATAACATAATTTTAGGCGTAGTACTGTGCAGAATATATTACTATTCGGTATGAGTAATATCAATTTATTACTATAGTCAGTCCGGGTGTTATATCTAAAATAATTTAGATTTTATATAAGATGTTATGTATGCCCAGATGTTATTGTACATAAGAATTTTTCATCAACAAAGAATGGTAGAGGCAGAAGGATAAGGTTCCAAATCTATTATATTTACTTTTATCCCTCCTTTCATCTTTAACCTTCTTAAAAACAAAATTTTCACAAATGATTAAAAACTTTTCATATTCATTAATAATCATAAAAACATCTTCTCTAGTTGTCCTATGCTGAAACAGAAAGTATTCTTATTGTGCAACAATTGAGTATAAAATTGTAAGAAATTATTTACTTTGTCAAATGGAAGACACTAATTGCCTACGAAACGGGGAATCGTAGTGTGGCGGCTAGTGCACTTTCTTTTTTAACTAAACATCTTTTTATTATGTATGATAAAGTTTTTCTTTTTCTTATAAGATTAGAACTACAATAGAGGCTTTAAAATAATAACATTTAAGTCGACATTTCGAGTATTCTTCAGCTATCGTCAGCGAGATGTTGTTGAGTCGATCGTAAAAACTACCTTAGGTCGCCACAAATAATTTTCTTCCAAGTCAAAATAATAGTTACGCGTTATATAAAAGCATGTAATAAGATATCTTATGTTAATTTGTATCACTCAAACTTGGCCATTAAAGAGTAGCGGAGAGTTTCTTGCCAGTTCTTCTTGCCCGCTCTACGTCCTTGACTTGCGAACTGGTAGTAAATGTAAATTTAGAATCAATTTAACATCATTTCTGTTGACGTTCATAAGTGTACTTGTTTACCTATATGAATAAAGTTATTTTAAGTTAGAGTTTGAGACTAGTTTTTGATTAATAATCAAAACATAATATATATATTATGATGGTAATTTACTGTGAATCTATTCAACAAAGTAACTTAAGAGTTTGTGTTCGGTGTGTTTCTACAGTTAACATTCGCTAATCGTTGACCTATTCCTAACAATGGTTTTTGTTTGAAAACTGTGAAGCACGCAGTTCAGAAAACATGTAACAAGCACTATTATGCAAAATGACCAAATAATTACATGCCAAATTAGCATATTTACAACAGTAATTTATTCGTTGTTGTGGCATAATATGACATGAACGGCATACATTTAAGAATGGAATTCAAGATTTTTTGCCTTATGATTCTTTAATCTTGGGAATGATTCAGTGTTTTTCTGTATACTTTTGTTTTACTTTATTGATATTTAATGTATATATATATAACTAAAAAAATATTAAATTATATTTTGCCAATGATATATATCTTTCAGTATTAATATTTTAAGACTACGTGAACTTTAAACAAGAACAATTTTAAAAAATTCTTACCCTTGACAACATCTCCATCTCTTGTCTCGTGTTGGGACTTTACGTCCCCAGTAGAGGGGTCTGCAACTCCATAATTATAGGTATACTTTGGACGATCCTGAAATATAGTTTTACATTAATTAAATAATTTTCCAATAGACGTATTTATTTTTAACCTATTATTTTTTAAATAAATATATTCTTCAATCTATGACAATGATAGATTTTTATTATTATTCATATAGATATCAATCGAATAGGCAAATAGCTGATCAGCCTCATGTGCCTTACACACGCCGTCGACTTTTAAGTCTAAGGCAAGCTGGTTTCCTCACAATATTTTCCTTCACCGCTAAATGCGCACATAGAAAGGAACTCTATTGGTGCACAGCCGGGAATCGAACCTACGACCTCAGGGATGAGAGTCGCACGCTTAACGCCAACACTGCTCTAAGAATTAATAAATAATTAGGTATATAATTTCTGATATATTGTGTGAAAAAATTAAAAATAATATTACGATTTCAAGCTAAAATCCTTACATACTTACATAATATTCATTATAGCCTGGATCAAAAGCTGGATTGAACACCGCACTTAGTTTCGGTGCAGCATTAACACAAGCAATCACAAACACAAATAAACAAAAGAAACGCATATTTAAAACACGAATTACGTGTTATTCTCTTTGATTTTTCCCCCGAATAATACAATTGCCTTCCAAGCCTCTCTTATATGCCTTCTATGGGCCTTGGCTAGACGAAAATTTTCTTCGTCTAATTGTGAAAAGCTTCGCACGACGCAATGGCGAATCTCATGTAGATTAGATTATGCAATTTTAAGGGACATTATGTGAACCATGTTTTGTTTTAATAGTATTTATAAGGTTTAATTTTAAGTTTTCAAAAGCCGGCAACGCACCCACTTAAATGGGTATCCATGGGTTGCTATGACTCCCCTTTTTGAGGAGGTTCATTTGCCCCCCTAAGGTATAAAAAATAACTTTAAGTTTAAAAGTAGTTTACAAATGCTATCTCACATAATTACAGTAAAAATTATCTGATATTTAGTATCAATTTATAAAAAATAGCACTAATTTTAATTGACATCGAAAGACCAATAGAAATCGAAACAAAATACTCTATACAGTTAATAATATATTCATCATTATCAGGATGTTTTTCCAATAAGCTTTCATAATATATTTCATTATTATCTATATAAGATATATAGGAGATTCTTAGGAGTTTTAAATAATTTAATCTGGTGGTTGATACGTTTTAAATGTTTTAATTTATTTATTTCGCAATCCTACTGCCTACATAAATTTTATCTAACCAAAAAACAATTATACTAAAGATAAGGCCAAAAATGGAATACAAATTATATATACAAAAAGGTTCAAACATTTACAAAAGAAAATCAATAAAAAATATTAAATACATACGTTACAACTAAGAAATGTCTAATTGAGCTGTATTATGTGTTGGTGTGAATGTACGTGAGGTTGTGTATGTGGTGTGTGCTCCTGATACAGGTGATTTAGCATATAAAATAACATAGCTCGTGTATCTTAAAATTAAAAAACACTAAGATAATAACTCTAAGTGCTAGGAAGACTGTTGTATTGGTACCTTAATAAAGTATTTGTCTGTACAAATTGAAATTACAAGGCCTGCCATTGTTCATAAATCGCTGGAACTAAAATAACATTAATCTCGCCACACAATGGAAATGAACAAACTAAGGAAACGTAAAATGTTATTTTCGAGTCGTACTTCCGGAAAAGCAACAACAAAACCATGGAATATATACCTCTATCACTAGGTGTAATTTTTTTTTATATTTAGGTAAAAATTAGTTATTGTAAAAACTACGTACGACGTATGTATGTAATTAATTTTTTTAAAATGTAAGTAATGACTTATCAGATAAAGATTTTTTATAGATAAACGTATGGACCTGGACCAGGAGGGAGCTTGTAGTTTATTGTTTATCAGAATGCCAAATCGTAAAATGACTGTTTTACGACTGATTTGAGCGCGACCGCCGCTGTGAAAACCGCTGCGTGAGTTACAGAATCGCAAGGCAGTTCTTCTGTGAATCAATATCATGTAATTAACTACTTTTTAGAGAAAAAAAAATCGTAATAATCCTTTTTTAATCTGCCTTTATTTCGTTCTTCGTCAACGTCATAAAAGATTACTTAACACTTATTTATCTTAATGTACACAGTACACACGCATGTATATATGTGTACATTGTATAGATATAATATTATCACCGAGGTAATCTATCTCTCACGGTTATTGTAGGACGGAATTCGAGAGTTTAAATATAAATCCTTCAAAATACAAAGAGCTGTAATGAGACAGTAAATTTTATATAGTTAGATAATATAAAAAAATGAGAATGACGTAAAAGAATAGGTAAAAATACTTAAATTATCGTTAGCTAACATACAGTAATGTAAACTTGATTATGGATTTTTATTGTTAAGTAATCTATAAGTGACAGTTCTATTAATATTTTTTCTATACTTTGTACTATATTATTTAGTCTTTATATCTTACCTATTATTAATAACCTCCAGTAAAGTAAGCAACAAAGCATATTTTATGGTCTATAACTAAAAATACAACGACAAGTGTATAGGAATCAAATCTAGGGCATCGAATTATATACATTTATTAGATAAACAGAAGACACTACTATGACAGATAGAGAAACAGGGTAACAAGGTGGAAAGCGCCACCAGGGAACAGAAAGAGAGGTCGCCGTCTTGCACGGAGGGCTGACGAGCTTAAAGAAGTTGGTGGAGAAGATTGGGAGAAAAATGCTCAAAATAGAGAGAGATGGAGGAGGCCTATACTTTATAAGAGTACCTTGGAAAAAAAATATTATACATAATTATTTATCTATAAAATTTTAAGTGTAATAATCTTTTGTAATTGTTATTCATTTATCTTTTGTAAAGATGAATGTTTTGTGAAATTAATGAAGCTTAATTTATTATTATTAGATAAACATTCAAAAGAACATATAACAAGCCTAAATGCTTGTGCAACTATGGATTTATTGTGTGGAGATATACACATTTTATAAATTCTATCTAATTTGAAATAAAAGCGTAAAATTATTATTTATTTATTGCGGATTTTTTCATTATTACAAATTTAAAGTGAAACTAATACAATAAGATAATTTTTTCAATTTTAATGATTAGAATAGATTAATACATTTGTTGTCGTCTTACCAATTTTAATTTAAAAGTTATAATTGGGCAAATATGCATTATACAATGAGCTTATGATATAGATTATTGCTCATTGATATTTATAAAAAGCAGAGTCTTTAAATAGAAGTCATTAGTAAAGTACTTACACAGTATTCAGGCTATGAAAGATGAAATAAATATCTATTGTGAATTATTTGAACGGTAATCATAAAGCAAAATACTATTGTTCCAAGCTTTAGACTATTAGCACCATCTTCAGGCTCTGGATCTGGCAGCCAAGGCCCACATTGTCTATACCCTTCTTCAAAAGAGTAATTATGAGGATAGCATGTAGTAGGCGGAAGTCGAGCCGGTAAGGATACTCTGTTGCGCCAACAAGCAAGCCGACTGGCTGAACCCCTTAGAGTGGTATCATGTTTCATTTCCACAAGTTCATTTACCAAGGAGTTATTCAAAGGTACTCCTTTATATGGACACAGCTTATAAATAGCAATTAGTATGAGATTTGTATGAGGTATTTCACTTGCGACCAGAGGCCATGTACATGGTTTAGCCGGTCGGTTTAATGCTTCAGTAGCTTTTTTATTTCTCTGCAACTCATATAATGGCCTGCTTCTATCACAGGCAGTAAATCTCGTTCGATTAAGTAATACACGATCATCGTGCAGTCTCTCATACTTTTCACGCTCGAAGTCACGACGTAGACGCTTACGTCGTTTCTCCTTCTCAAATTCAGTGTCGCAATTTACTGTTCTATGAGATAAAATGAAATATAAAGATATCATCAATTCACGTGATATATAGGTTATTGCTTTAATTGATCTCCATAACGATATAATTATAGAAGATATTGTTGGAGCCGCTGCGCTAAGGTTTTCATCTTTTGGAGGAAAACAAACGCCTTGATAATCGTGGACCCAACGTACTTTAAAGATGCTAGCATTGAGTAAAGCTTTCATTGCAATGGGATATTCATTGGCAAGATGTTTATTCATAGTTTCATCGTTATCTTGGTCAGCGACAATCCATCCAGCGTCATCGATTAAAACGCATGCCCAGGTTTTTCCATCGCAACGAGCCTCACACTTTGATTCGTCTTCAAAAGCACAGTGATAATTTGTTATAGATTCTAGTAAGTCATTTAAATGTCTGGGATAAAAATGATAGCCAGCAACACCAATAATGCCTTGCTTCTTTGGGTGACTTAGAGTTCTGGCAGCTGTCAACCATTGCCAACGTTGACCAAGAGGAGGAACTTCAGGTTCGGTGTTTCTAAGCGTTTGAACGGCTGGTATAGGTGCGTGTATTACTAGCGTGTCAGGGTATGCACTGGCTCGGCGATACCAAGCTTCTGACGGGCCCATTGGCCATACAGAACCTTCAGGTGGATCTGCATGGGAACTTGTTGCATGATATAATTGCCAACGAGTCAAACCATTCTCAGTAGCAAAGAATGCCGTATTGGATCCGAGAAGACATGCAGAACAGTCTCGATCCGTATCAGGATCTTCGTGTTCAAGAGCCCACTGTTGAGTGGCAGTTGCCTCTTTACTTAGCCTTCCCATTAATTCCACATCACATTGATAAGGTTTCTCAAGCAATGTTAGTGGTATTGGTGAGAATAAATGTTTGATTTTCTTTGGCAAGAAGTTAGGTTCATCCCTTCGTCGTCTAAGGAAATGAAGAACTTCTAACTCTCTAGAATCGAAATGAGGATCTACGTGCCTACAATATAACCATTCTGGATGTACTGCAAAGTCTGTTCCTAATAAAGCACTGAGCGCATCTTCCGCTAGCTTTTGTGTGAAATCTGCATTGGGTACGGCGTGTTGTTGGTTATACTTTGGAAGAGATACTACAAGCGTGTAATGATTACGAATACGTTTCCAGTAATAATCTCTCATCTCTAGAATTACTCGCATTCCTTTTTCATAGATACTTTTAGCAAACATAGTCTTCGAGCCTTTCGGTTCGTCAATAACTATTGCGTTCCTAAAATCGAGCCATTCTTGTGGATATTCTCTGGCATAATGGTCTACGGCTGGCTGTTCAACATCTAATAAATCAACAGTTCGATAACCAGGTCTTAATATATCTCCGTCAAAAACGGGTTTAGTGTTGTCGTGCAGTACAATATTACCTCGGTGATCTACCAAAAAGAGGGTCCCACCAGAGCCCGTTAGATAATAAGGGAAAAGTAATTTTAAATGATCAAGAGGTATGTCCACACCAGCTACTCCTAACAAACGGTTGACCGGATACGACCTTGTAGAATTACGTTGTTTTTCTTCGTCTAGTTTTATCGTTATATTTTCAACTGTCGTACTTTCAAAAACTGGAACTGAAATGCTTATTTCTAGTCTGTAATTAACTTCTTGATCTTCATAGTACTGCCCATATTTATGCAGCTTTTCCATATATGTAACGTCCTTACTAGCCGTTTTTAAAAATTTGTTTTTATTCTTTCGCAATTGTCGATAACGATATTCTTGCTCTGCATTTTCTTTTTGTTGCCAATAGAATTCCCCACGCCGTGGATCTTCCATATGAGCATATACGTCACTATGGACTTTTATCCGGTGTTTTCTTTGACCTACTAATGGTCGTTCCATCACACGAAGTATCCTCATAACTTGCTCTGTCACATCCGAATCAGTAATAAGTTCTGCGAAATAGCCATCTCGCTCACAACTTAGCGCGTTGGCTAATACTCGAGTATTATCTCGTAAACCGAATTGGTCATGAAGCCACATTATAAATAGTCTGATTTTTCCATCGGGGTCTAATTGTTTCATTAACTCGGTGTAATCTATATACAAACTATCGGTTACTAAAACTATTGCTTGCTGGCAAGACGGTGGCCTATCAAGATTTCTTTGCTTCTTTAATAATTGAACAGAATATGCAAGGACATCACCTATCATGGACTCATTTTTCATCTTTTGACTTTTAAGAACTGCTATCATAGCTGCTGTATTCACATTATTAGCAGGAACTAGTTTGTCATTGAAGCAACTTATTGGTGATTTAACAGTTCTGTTAAATCGCAACACATTCACATAATCATCATCTGTTAAAGCGTTTAAAAGTGTTCCAGTGAAATGTTCGGCTGTCACTTTATTTGATGAATTGTACATAGAACCTGAAGCATCTAATAAAATGAGGATGTCGCGAGGCGCTCCACCAGCACTTACGTACCATGGTCTTAAACGACAGTCAAATACATCATCCGCTCCAATATTTACGTTATACAAGCTTTGCCATAAGGCCGCAGGGTAATGTCTTAAAAATCCTTGGGCACTACAAAAATACTGAAAGTCCAGCGTAGCATCTTGGGCATAATTCTCACGAAAAGTGGATAGCAGTCCTTCGGACCAATACAAGTGTGGTGTTACTTTAGAATCACAAGTGAACACTTCTGCAGCTACGTGAGCACTGCTTGCCTCTAATGATATCATTGCATTAAAATGTGTACTCTTTTGCAATTTTATTTTATTAATGCTCTTACAATTAGACGAAAATTCCCACTCACTTTCAGTAGGTTCCACTTTTTTCAAAATATCTAAGTCGACACTATTATCAAACGTATAGTTTGGTGGTGCTTCAAGTTTGTTTATCATGATGTTTTTAGAGAGCTCTTCTGCTCGACGCATAATAGCTTCGGCTGCTTTTCCTCGTTTTTCAAAGACATCTTCTAAGGCATTAGCTACTTTTTCCAAAATTGCTGACCCATTTCTTACTTCTACCGTGATATCTGAGAAACCTTTCCATAAAACGTTTCTTCTAACAACCTTTTCTTCTATTTCAAATAATCTTTCACGTATTTCGTTGGCCCAGTCGCTTATTTGTTCTCGAGTAATTAGCTTGGGCTTATCGTGTTGTTGTTTCTTTATGATTGCCGGTTTAATATGAGTTTTCGTTACGTTACTGACTACCAATGGAGTATTTTTAATTTTACTTTTATTCACTAACAGCTTATCTTGATGCTCCTCTAGCGATTTTCTAATATTGTCTACATCGTTTGTTGGCGCGTGTTTAGTGTCTAACAAGTCTACCAGCAAAGCAATAAAAATTATCCGCAAATATAAATTCATTTTAGAATATTGTATTCACATTTTAAGTCTTTATTTTTGATGATCACACTTCCACAACAAAGAGAGTACTGAGGAGTCTTGTGATTTTGGCACGACGTGAAGTAACGCCAGACTGTCTGGCGTCGAAGAATGCTGGTCTGCGTAGGCATTAGCGCAATTCTTAGAATCTGACCCGGCCTATATTTGTATGAAAGTTATAAAGACATAGTTTAGAGGACATGATTAATTATGTAGATACAATATAATATTATAATATGAGGTTTTAATTTTATAAATAATTGCTTGAAGGTATCATGCGGGGCATGATGTAATGATTGCAGTTTCTTACAAAACTTCTTACTTAACTTTTTCGTAAAACAAAAACTTGGTGATTAAAAATATTGAGGGTTTATTGCCAGTAAATGTAAATATTGAGGGTGTATTCAGCCGCGTACAAATTATTTTATTGAAGAAGTCTATAAAGTATAAGGGTGTGCAATTATTTAATCAAATACCGTCTAAAATTCGTAATATTAGCGCGTTGAAATTCAATTCAAAATTCAAAAGGGCATTAAAGATACATATCAGCATGATAATAGTAGACTAAAATTGGGACGGCTGATGGCGACGTGTATCTCGTTCGTATAAACATATTAAGTTTCTCATGTGAATAAAATACATTATTTTTTGTTATGAGAAATAAAGTTCTTTGAACATTAAAGATTTTTATTCTCCTCCTTAGTTACCTGTATAAGCCCTCATATTTTTTAGACGTTCATTGTGTTATCTATATCAATAAATTTTACTTTTATTTGGTTTGGAAATAAATGTTGTATGATTTCCATGCTATCGAACAAGAACTTTATTTTTATATTACCTTTTTCAAGAGAATTTTTAAGATTTCAATATGTGTTCATATGTAACTGAAGAAGCTGAATTCTGATCCAGAAATGTTTGAGTACAATGGCACATAAGGCATTTTGGAATACATCATCAACTTATTAATTATGTAACTATCGGCCGTGGATGTTAGAATAACTAGATAAATAATATTTTTATAATTTATTTATTATACAACTAAAAATATTCTTACACTATCTTAAGTATATAATAATATTGAAATAACATGTCTACTCAGGTACTTCCGTGTAACAAATCCGATAAAATAATAAGTAACACATTTTTATATCGAGATCTACATTTAAAATAATTTTACAATTAAATAACATTTTTTTAAACGTTTAACATCAAACAATAATAACAATAACTTTTAGAAGAAAATTCAAATATTAATAAAATATTATTTTGTTGTAAATGGAAAAAACACTTACTAAAGCGTTTTAAAAGTCATTGCCCTACTCCTAATTTGTCAGACATACTATAATATCTTATGGAATTAATGTACAAAATGGGCTTCATGAGGCGAAATAGGTGCAGTTCTATGGACAACAGCATTGAAACCATTGTGTTTGTCTGCTGTATAGTCCACAGTGCGGATAGCGCCATCTGGTTCTACCACGCTGTATTGGCCTGAAAGGTCAAGAGTAATTTATTTATTAAGTAGATAGCAGTGTTAGGATAAAATATTTCACATGTGCGCGCGTAAGAAGTTATACTTCTTTGGCATTATTAAAAATAGTTTTTGATTGCATGCAAATAATTAATTACAATTAAATAATCAAAGACTGGAAAAGGAGTCATTATAGTCAATAAAGTTCAGTTAACATTTGAAAAATTAAATAAATAAATATTTATTATTATTATCTTACATTAAGTGTAACATAAATTATATTATTATTCGAATGTTGTTTTTAAATTATGTCCAATGCCGTAACATCTTCCGTAGGCAACTTCATTCTGTTAATTTTGTGTCACGGTGCGCGCGCCTCGTAAAATTTCACTCTCATAAATTTTTCATAACGCGCCTAAAGAAGTATAACTTCAAAAGTAGTATACAAGAACAGAGTGTCTTCTCCTTAATAGAGACTATAAGTAGTGTTATTGGTTCTTTTGTTTAATATTCTTTTTAGTAAATTAGGTTAGTTTTAAATTACTTATTAGTCTAAATTAAGTAAGGCTAAATCGTAATGATAAATTGTGCAGTGCAGAGACAATGTAGAAGAAAAAAAATATCGTTTAATAATAATCTAGTGGAATAGAGCTTCCTCAAAAGTCTTGAGCATCTTTTAAAGAAGCTCGTCTAGTATTATTCGGCATCGTAATGATAAATTGTGCAGTGCAGAGACAATGTAGAAGAAAAAAAATATCGTTTAATAATAATCTAGTGGAATAGAGCTTCCTCAAAAGTCTTGAGCATCTTTTAAAGAAGCTCGTCTAGTATAATTCGGCATTATTTCTAATTTATTACTAAATTTTATACATGGACACGTTGGTACAAGAAGTATTAACTACATTTAATCTTGTAAAAGGTAATTTTAAATTCAGTGGGTTTGATTCTAACGAAAGAACATTCGTTTCGGAATATTCACGGAATGAAACAATAAACTGCTCCATTGGGAGGATACTTTTATAATTAATAATCAAATAGGTTCGTTGCCAGGTAAGTTATAATAATTTTGGCTTCCGAGTGCGTGATGGTGTGACACGCCTACCGTTGGATAATTTAAGTAAAAGTTAAGCAGACAAAAAATTATATAATAAGTGAAGTTAGACCCTACTCCCTAGTCATTGTATTATGCAATGTTTAAAGAGTTCTATTTGACCGGAACTAAAATGACTACAGATATTTGACTGATTTATGTACATATTTATAAATAACTAGCGGACCCGACAGACGTTGACCTGCATGATATTTCAAGCGGTTAGGATATTAACCAAAGTATGAAAGTACCGACTGCAGCGCCATCTAACGCTGATTTGTGAATCTAAGCCATCAAGGGCGCCACCCAAACGCATTCAAAAAAATTCATTCAAATCGGTCCAGCTGTTTAAGAAGAGTTCAGTGAGATACACACGTACAGTAGAATTATGTATGTAAGGTAATATATATCCAAGGAAGTACGTTTTTGTATATGTGATCATTTTCTAGTTTCTATTCTAATGTAGTTCTAAAATATAAATTCTCGGTTATAGTTACATATTTTATTTATATATATAATCATTTCAGTTGTATAGGCATAGGCAAAAGTCCAACAAACATCCTTCTAGAAATCGGGGCATAGAGAAAACGAAAGTTTATTAATATACGAACTATCTGTCTGCCAACCCAGGGCTAACACGTTATTCGAGCGCTATAAACATAGCGAGATTAAAAGGCCGGCAACACAATCGCGAGCGCTCTGGCATTGAGAGTGTCAATGGGCTACGGTATCACTTAACATCAAGTGAGCCGACGGCCCCTATTCTATGAAAAGAAAGTGAACTTTACTGAAATTATAGGCTACTTATTGAGTTCTGTATAAAAATTAGTATTACAAGATTAAGGCTTCTAGCAAACGTAATCAATCTGGTTAAGTTTAAAGAATACCTGTGACCACATCCCCATCGCGACTTTCATGGTGCGTTTTAATATCTCCTGTATGAAAATCGTTGACACCGTATTTAAACACGTACTTCGGGTAAGCCTGAAAATAAATAATACATATTATGCAAAGCCTAAACAGTGCTTAAAAACTAGATCATAGTTTTATTTTGGGCTAGAGGCTTCAGTGTGCGAAGGGATGAGCTGAGGTCGTAGGTTCGATCCCCGGCTGTGCACCAATCGACTTTGTGCGCATTCAACAGTCGTATGGTGAAGGAAAATATAGTGAGGAAACCGGCTCGCCTTAGACCCAAAAGGGTTTTGGGGATCTCAAAGAATCCCTTTTTGTGGGCGTTAGGATTTTGGCAAGACACTTTTTGGGTCCCAGGCCCAGCGGTTTTATTACTAAAGTGTTACCCAAACTAGTGATGTTGCTATATAGCTATATATCCATGAGGTATTTAGATTCTATAAAGAAAATAGCATAATTCTTAAAAAAACATTGCATACGCATTTCATTTTAACTTTCATTGAAATCGTAAATATATTTAAAAATTATATTTCGCCTTATTAATTTCTAGAAGTCACGGGTATACTAAAACAGCAAGAAACGATTTAGTACCTTGATATCAATCATAAGTGAAACTACGGAACGTTACGCCAACTTCACGGCACTGACGCTGAATGAGGCTAATTGTTATTTTACGGAATTTGTAGTTAATATTAATAAATATATCACGTTTATTAATCAACTTCATTAAAAGAAAAAGCAGGAAAATTCTTGCAATTTTTGTCGTCCTTTCCACACCCTTGATTTGAGGAACAGGCAGTAAATTTAAATACTATTTCTACTCTCCCCTTTTGACATATATATATATTTATTTATTTATTTTTTTTTTTTTTTTTTTTTTTTTTTTTTTTTTTTTTTTTTTTTTTTTTTTTTTTTTTTTTTTTTTTTTTTTTTTTTTTTTTTTTTTTTTTTTTTTTTTTTTTTTTTTTTTTTTTTTTTTTTTTTTTTTTTTTTTTTTTTTTTTTTTTTTTTTTTTTTTTTTTTTTTTTTTTTTTTTTTTTTTTTTTTTTTTTTTTTTTTTTTTTTTTTTTTTTTTTTTTTTTTTTTTTTTTTTTTTGTTTTTTTTTTTTTTTTTTTTTTTTTTTTTTTTTTGTTGTTTTTTTGTTTTTTTTTTTTTTTTTTTTTTTTTGTGGGGTTTTTTTTTTTTTTTTTTTTTTTTTTTTTTTTTTTTTTTTTTCCCGTCGATATATATTTATTTATTTATTAAACTTATAATAGGTCGGCAGCGACTTCGCCTCCTGACAATTTGAGTGTTCCTGTATTACTTTACATCAGACTCTCCCGCCGCTTGTTCTATACAAAACATTTATTAAAATTTGGGCTTTTATTTATAAGCTAAATAAGTGTGCGTATTAGGTGTATTAAGAACTCTAGTTAGTTAGAGTAATAAATAAATAAAAATAAAGATTAAATCACCGTTATATACGTCAGACACACATAACATCTGTTACTATTTATCCTATGAACTCCTGGGTTCGATTTTTGTCGAAACAATAATTGCTTATTGAAGGAAATCAACAAAGAGAAGAATCAACTCGTATCCCATTAACGGATTTAATCAGTCAAATCAATAAGTTTAGTTGTATTAGGTCAATAATTATCTATTTATTTAGTAAATAGTAAGATATAATTAGTTTAAATAAATAATACGTGCAAAACATGTAACTTTGATTTGTGAACTTGGTCACATAGTATTATATAATTTGACACCATCGCTTTCTTTTACAACATATTGCTAATATTTAAATGCTTACGCTCTAGAATATATAAGATTTATTTATTAAAATATGATTTGCATTATGTAGTTACCAAGTTAAAATATGAAATATATTAGAGAATGTTCGATTCGATTTTAACCAAAAGTATCTTAGTACAAAATAGTATGTAAATAGAGAAATGCCTTCACGTATGACCAGAAACTCTTTTGCTTGGTTTTCACTTGAATAAACTCTGTGGGAAAATGTCAAGGTCATTGGTATGAAAACAATTCAAGACATCAGCTATTCATAGTTTGAAAAACATAATGGGAAATGATTTTGCATTCATTCCCTTTTCCTTTGTTTGATTGAAGCCTGAGATGAATGTGTTATTCATAAAAACTACACATAATCTTATGTCAGTAAAGTTATAATGAGTAACTAACTACAAGAAACATAATTATCTGTATTACTTTCAAAAATTCTTGTATCATTATAATGCTAAGTTATCCTTAAGTAACAAGAACTATTTATTTGTTATTTTTTTTAAAGTTACTGCTACTTGAGCCGTGCGAAGGCGCTACCTCAAACTCCAACTCAAAATTCTTATAGGTAACCAAGTACACTTACGAACGTCAACAGAAAAGATGTTAAATTGAATCTAAATTTACATTTACTACCAGTTCGTATGTCTATCTCTATCTATTCTATGTATAGTCCACCTTTAAATAAGCGTTAGGATGAATAATGAAGATTGAAATATCGCACACATATTTCGTATTTTTTATAATATTTAATTAAATTGATTTCGGATTTGGTATCAAATCAAGGTAAGTTTAATAATTTGTACTATCGTATTGATGACGATACGATATAAGTTCAGACACCTCTCATTCGAATTCTTCGCGAATATAACAGAATAAACACTACTTATCCACAGCTTGATATATTCGGTAGTGGACTGATCATTTAAAAAAAAGCATTGTAAAGCACCTATCTGCTACCTAAGTCGCATTGTTAAGCAAAAAACTACTAGTAAAAACTAAAATTGAAAGTGTAATATTTTTATATTTTGGAAAATTTATGATCACCATAATTATTATCCTGTATTTTAGAATAGATAGCTTGTAAAACTGAAGAAAATCCATTATATATCATGTGGTGTACTTTAATAAATAACTACTTACGTAATAATCTACATGGTGTTCTTCGGGTACATAATGATGAACCGGCCGATGGATTGCTTGAGCAAATGATCCCTGCGATTGCAAGTCTTCAAGCTTCGGATATGTTACTCGGCAATTTACGCTCACTGCTAAAAGAACGACCGCAAAACACTGTAATAAGTTGAAAACGTGATTAGTTTATATAGTTTTTATTTTATTTATTTATTTACGGCCCAAAAACTTAGACTAAAAACAAAAAAGTTTTAAAACTTATAAAGGGATATACATTTTTTTTATATTACGCATGCTCCAACGAGCATCTTTTTTATATAAGACACCGTCTCGACGAGCCTTCGGAACAGCACCACCCATCTAAGTGGGTGCGTTGCAGCGGTTAATGGAGCTACTGTCACTCTTGTCATAGTACTTAGTTAAAATAAAAAAATCATGTCGCTACAACCCTTTTTCGGTCTGGGGCTCAGAATCTGTTGTCATAGTAGTACTAAAAGTAAATACAATAAATAATATTATTAAATTCGTATCACTAAGATATTATTATTACAATTTTCTGGAAGAAAATTCAAGATTGAACCATACTGAAACGGCCGGCAACACACCAGCCCTCTTATAGACTGTGTCCATTAGGACCGAATTACCTAATTTTTTCATAAAACTCCACTAATTAAGTAATTAAGCTATTAAGAATTAAATTATTCTTAATTTTCTATATAAAACTTTAACTACGCTTAAAGATCCTTAGGAGATCTCTGTATAACATTGTGCGAATTCTCTGTAATTCAAGCGATGGAAAAACAATTTTCCCAACGCTCTATATACTTAAATCTCTTTGAGAAAAGCGAACTCATTTTCACATACATAATCCATCTTACCTTAAACTCCATGTCTTACAAAAGAAACAACCACAATTGAATACTAGAAACTGAGTACTGTGCGGTGCGTGACACGCACCTACCTTTATATTATGTAGACACAAGAGGTGGTAACGAATATTAGAAACATATTATTTGTTCCGTCATGGTATAGGTCTATTTTGCTCTAATTTTTTTTTTAGTTCATTATAATAAACTAATATGGTAAACACGTTACGTTTAATTAAATTCAATGCGTGGTTCATCTGTTTATATAGTAATGCGTATTTTATTTTATAAATAGTTATAACTTAACGAATATGGCAACGTATTTCAACAGTAATCCTGAAAGTTAAAAATTATTCTTTCTACATTTGTAACGAAACAAATTTGAATAAATGTTAATACAAAAAGTAAATATTTGTATAAATAAAGATGACGGTATGACAAAAATACAAAAATGAATGATTAGATGGTTTGGCCATATAGCATGAGAAGCAGGTAACAAGTAGGATATACAAGGCAATCGTGGATGGTGAAATTGGGTTGGCTAGGACTTGTCGTACATACCTGGACCAGAGAGGTACCAGAGAAAATAAAATAAAGAACAGTGTTGGCCTAGTGGCTTCAGCGTGCGACTCTCATACCTGAGGTCGTAGGTTCGATCCTCGGCTGTGCACCAATGGACTTTCTTTCTATGTGCGCATTTAACATTTGCTCGAACGGTGAAGGAAAACATCGTGAGGAAACGACGACATGTCTTAGACCCAAAAAGTCGACGGCGTGTGTCAGGCACTGGAGGCTTATCACCTACTTACCAATAAGATTTAAAAATTATCATGAAACAGATTCAGTTACTAGGTTCAGTTACTAAAGATGGGACTAGTTAAAAGTAGCCATAGCCGACGAGCATGGAGGGTGAATGTCAAGTGAAAGAAACGAGAGAGGCATAGGACCGTAGCAAGTGGAGATCTGTGGTTTCTGTCGACCCCGTCTGGAAAAAGGCAAGTCGTTTAAAAACCTTGCTGTTTTAATTACTTTCTTTTGTCTCTATATTCCTGCATAATTATGTATTTACATTGTATATTCGCGGACCCATGCGACTTCTTCCATACAAAGAGTCTCCTCGTGAGTTGTGTGCTGCGATATTGCGGGCTACTCGATTGTGAGGAAGTTGCAGGGATCTGGTTAGCGCTACGCCTTTTTAAGTTCTTATGTCATTTTCACACGTGTAAATCCTGTCTATAACATTTTCATATGTATTTGATTGTCCTGATTTTAACATGAGTGATGTTTGAGAGCAAAAATAAAATAAAAGAACATACTAAATGCTTAATAGAAGACGATGAAGAAAAATTGACCCATATGCAGATAACAAGTTCTTTACCCTGTTTTACTTCTAGATTATAGAACGTCAATATTCCATGTACATCAATTCAGTTATTACCTAAATAACAACTTAACGATAAGTTATGTAAATAATGCCAATTATCAGCATGATCAACCCTAATTAATCGGTAATTGAGTTACTGTAAACATCAGTACTGAAGTTCAATGATTATATTAATTAATGTAACAATATAATACTTATTTAATTAAAATAATATATATAATTTAGTATTGATGAGTTTCACTAACCATATATTACGTGCACGAACGTCAATTAAAATTATCTTTTGTATAATAAAAACATTAAAATCAATTAATATACTATTGTTTTTGTATAGGATAGGGGTACACGAGCCTACGGGTAAAAAAGGGCAGTCACCGCAGCAGCATGGACACCCATTTTAGTGGATGCGTTGCCGGCCTATAACGAAGGAGAAGGCTCCTTTTTTAAACAATTGTAGGTCGTATCTCCTAGGGAAGACCCCTACTGGGAGTTGAATCCATAGTTCGCAAAAAGAAAATGTCAAGTGAAGCGGACTGTGGAAGATTTCCATTTTCCAGCCATTAAGGTGATACGGATAGAAATACGGCTCGTACTGTGATGAAACAAGACAGGAGGGATCAACCCAAACAACTCTTCAGAACACTCTCCATAGAATACGCATAGATGTATGAATGTTTCCTCCTTCCACCTTTTTCATAACAGGGCATATAAAAATTTTAATAATGAAAAAAAATACGGATTTTTAATCTATTAGGTCTGTATTGTTTCAGGTTCATTAATAAAAAGTAAATCAGCCCTGCGATTCTGTAACTCACTTTTCGAACTCACAGAGCGATTTTCGCATCGGCGGTCGCTCTCAAATCAGTCGTGAAGCAGTCATTTTATGATTTGGCATTCTGAAAAGGTAGGAGCTTGTAGTTTATTGTTTATCAGAATGAGTAACAGAATCGCAGGGCAGTAGTCGCTGCAACGAAGACGTAAATTATATTTGTTAAAACAGCGTAACCATTGTGTCGTTTTTCAGTTCTTATTTGGAGGTTATGTTATTAAAAATTTTGTGTGGTTCAATATGTATTACCCACGTTAATAATGAAAGAAGTGAAATAAAACTTGTATTTGTTAATAATGTCTAATAGTGGGTATACGCCTTGATAGATGCAATGTTATTCATTGAACAACTACAATACGATTGAGTAATACAATTTACCTTTTTGCATTGCACTTCCTTCCGATGTATTCCGTGGGAGTCAAAATCAATCGATGTTTCTATTATGCTATAATAATCTAACTAAACTGCTACCGTCTTTTGCGTCTTAGTAGCGCATTATTCCTCCTTAGTATAACCAAAGACAATAATTGTCTTTGGTGTCATACAACTAATAGTCAATGCAAAAAAAAAAGTTCGAATACAATTTCAATCACAACTTTATAATTATTTGGGTTTAATAAAAACCTTACTACTATACTTTGCGTTGTGTGGAGATGGATCTTAATGGAGATTAGACGCCGTGGCCGACGAGATAATTTAGTACTGAAAAAAATATATTTCCCTTTTTCGTTTAGGCAATAAGCCCGACTTTCCATAATCGCAATTGAACGATTGTCAGACAATTAGTTGAAAGTAGGTTTGATTACATAACATTTGTCGCGTATTAGTGACATATTGTAGTGAAGTAAAACATAAAATGAGAAATCACCATTACTTGGCACTACGTGACTAGGATACACTATTTTTGTCTATTGCTTTTCTCGATATGGTTAATGTAGACATTAAATAATTTGTCTGACTTATTTAATTTAATTTTTTTTATAAGTAGGTACACTAATATGTATTTTTATATTGTGTTTAAAAAATAATAAACCAGAGTCGCTACAACCTTTTTAGGTCTGGGCCTCAGATTTCTGTATCTGTTTCATGATCATATGTCAATCTAATAGGCAAGTAGGTGATGAGCCTCCAGCCTGACACACTGCGTCGAATTTTTGGGTCTAAAGCCGGTTTCCTCGCGCTGTTTTCCTTCACCGTTCGAGCAAATGCTCAATATTGTATCTCACATTGGTAACATGAAATCAATTTTATATGCTTTATTTTTACACAATTTTAAAAAATCTGATTCAAATGGCTATATTAATAAATACCTTGTATATTATATACGTGTTATAGACAATTGTAGTAACTGATTCCCTTTCATCGGTTTATGAAATACAATTACTTTTATAAAGGCAAGTGGTCCAACAGCGGTTTTGAATTTAGTAGTAGCCGAAGTCTGGCTATGCTATTTTCAGATTTACTATTTTTATTGTTAGGCAGGCGTGATACCTGCGATATGGCTAATCAAAATTCAGTGACTCCCGTTATTGTTGTAACTTAAACAGCTAATTATTTTATAGTAAAACTAGTCAAAGTAGGTCATCAATAAGCATATATTGATGCTAATTCGAAAAAATATCTAATATTTCATAATGATGTCGTTGCGTTTTACAACAATAGAAGGCGTCTGTGTAGACGGAGTGCTCTTACTATGCAAAAATAAAACAAATACAAAAAACATTTTTTTTATTTTATTTTACAGTATAAATAGTATAAATCATGAGATATTTTAAAACCATTGTGGTTTATATTAATGTAACAATAGCAGTGTTGTTGCCGCGAAAAATGCATATAAAAACAGTTCTTCAACCTACTTTTTGAAGTTATACTTCTTTTGGCGCATTAGGAAAAAATAATGAGAGTAAATTTTTGCGATGCGCGCACACTGTCACAAAAAATCGACACCCTGAATATCTGTTCAAACGTCGTTAAAACAGTCTGGGCCGCTAGTTGGCGCTTGATCTGTTTTATCGACAAGTTGCATTGTCTGTCATGGCGTAGAGTTTTTCAGAGTCGTGTTTATTTAAACCAAAGTAATGATTTCTATACGAGAAAACCCGTTCCAATGTGATAAAAAACATAGTGTAAAAGCGTATAATATAAAGAGCGTACTAATTCTTAAACAGCAACGAACTTGGGAGCCTTCTGGCAATGTGAGTGTTCATGGGCATAGGTAACATGTGGTGAGCCTCCTGCCCGTTTGCATCATTATATAAAAAATATGTACTTTTATATCTACGTAAGTTCTCTGCGTAAGTTTTAAAAATCAAAGCACAAACGAATAAGTGATTTCCGAAGAGAAAACATATCAATATGAGAATCTTGAATATTGATCAAATGTAGTCTACTATTAAGTAACGTTACGTATCTACGTTCATTTAGAATACTAAATAGTTCCTACTATTAAATGTAGAGCGAGACCCGCGAGAGATCGTTCATTTATATGTAAGGAAATTATTGTAACCTAACTAACGGTTTTAATGAGGCCTGGAGTCGACACAGAATTATAAGCAATTATTCTTTTACCATGGATTGAATTGACAAAATTTGACCTAGTAAAAATATACGTGAGAATCGGACTCTCAGAGTATGTAAAGAATATATAGGAAGTATTAAGGAGTTTTTGATAATCTATCTGTAATGACGTTGTTTATTGGTATCTATTTATAATTGTAGAATAAATATTAATTTTGAAGTCATACTTCTTTTGGCGCAGTAGGGAAAAATGATGAGAGTAAATTTTTACGACGCGCGCGCACATCGTCACAAAAAACCGACACCATTTTAAAATAAATTATATTTAATTTTCTTTTTTCATTTCTTTAAGATATTTAAATAACCTTTATTAACCTATATAAAGCTTTATAATAAAACTTTCAATGTATTAAATAACGTTTTTAAGTATTCTACAAACAGTAGAATAAGGCGAAAATTCTTTCGAACGTTTTTTTTTTAAATTTATTAAATAATGCGGCTTTAGAATATAATCAATTTTATATGCTTTTTAATAAACAATTTAATTAAATACTATGCAAATTTAAACGCCCTACTTACATTATTTTAGTTTTTTATTTGTAAATAAGTAAAAGAGTGGTTAAAAAATAACAATTTTATTAAAACATAATTATGATAATACATATTATATAAAATACTTATTAAAAATTAAAAACCTTGACATGAACGGAACGATTCGTATGGATTAAAAGCGTTTCTTATCTTTCTTTTATTATTCTTGTCATAATATACACGAACTTTCTCTGTGCCGCATTTTTCTGGCTTGATCTCGTTTTCCATATAAACCTCAAACTCTGATTTAGGGACTGGTTGAGTTTTATCATCGAATAACCCAAAACCTTTATCAACTTTCATGTCAACCGTTTCCACAGAAAAGTCAGATTTTTGTTGTTGAAGTGGAAATTTTGAATCCGCGACTTTAAAGCTTTTCAGTTCCACACTAAAATATTAAAAATAACATTTTAAATGATCATGAAACAGATTCAGAAGTCTGAGGCCCAGACCTAAAGAGGTTGTAGCGCCACTGATTTATTTATTTTAATAAGACAAATCTCTAAGGACACACCCTATTTTTTTTTAATTATCGTAATCACCGCTACAACCTTTTCAGGTCTGGGCCTCAGATTTCTGTATCGGCTTCATGTTCATTTGTCAATCTAATAGGCAGCAGGTGATCAGCCTTCTGTGCCTGAGACACGCCGTTGACTTTTTTGGTCAAAGGCAAAATTTAGAGCCTTTTCATTCACCGTTCGAGCGAATGTTAAATGCGCAATAGAAAAAATCCATTGGGACCGGAGATCTAACCTATACTAGATGAAAGGTCAATGTCTGTTCACGTTGTAATGAGTTAATGGTTTCGTCTGTTAAAACAAGTTGCAGTAATAGTTTTGTCTAAGAAAAGTTGATTAATTTTAGGAACTAAGTTAGGTCCGTAAAAATGTCAATCAAAATCTAGTTTCAAGAGCTGTCAAACCATTTTTTCTGTATACAGTTTAGCATATTTGACAGCGCTCAAATGTCATTGTCATTGTCAAATTTCTAAAATTAAAACCTAAAGCCGATACAGAGTAAGAACAAGAAATAGAGAAACTGGTACATTACCCATAACTTGAATCGTCAGCAAAGTATTTCACGTGTACAGGATTGCCTTCCCTATCTTTATATGTATATGTTCCCACAACTGTTCCATTTGGATAGCGTCTTTCATCTTTTAATTCGGAATTATCAGGATCTATTCTTTCTATAGGATAAGCTAGAAAAATATTCAACTAAGTAAGTTATCTTCTTTTTTAAAGTGGATATCATAACTAGGAAACTTTGAAGGTCTACGAGTTTCCTTTGATTCCTAGCCCACAACCCTGAACAATATAATACTCCGGCAACTTGCTTACTATACTTTTGTTACCTAGAATATATTTTTTTTTAATTTAACAGGATACCAACGGACAAGAGGGTCATCTGATGTGAGAAGTGATACCGCCGCCCATGAACACTCTCAATGCCAGATGGATCGCATGTGTGTTGCCGGCCTTTTAAGAATTGGTACGCTCTGTTCTTGAAGGACCCTAAGTCGAATTGTTTCGGAAATACTTCAGTGGGCAGCTGGTTCCACCTAGTGGTAGCGCGGCAACAAGAATCGCTCAGTTGTGAAACGACGGACGTCGAAGTGATACAGATGGTATTTTGTATTCTGCCTTGACGTCCGATGATGAAAAAATACTAATTTATGTTTATAAAACGTATAAAAAGAACAGTTATGGATACATGTATACATCTATCTATCATATGGATTCCAAACTTGGTTTTATAATAAGGCGCTGATGAGAAGAGTTTGCCAAAGGGATATCGAGCTATCTATTCTTCGGTTGAAAAAATAACGTAGAAAACAGTGTAATACGAAGCTTTACAAACACATTCAAAATAGTTAAAGTGGAACGGTCACGTTGCCGGCGTTTGCGATACCAGATGAGTCAAAAAGACCCTTACTTGGAATGGCCCAGTGGAAAGAAAACAAGGAATCCCACATTAAAGCTTGGAAGAGGAAATGAAAGAGATAGGGGGAAAGATTGGGAAATAGTAGCGAAGACGAGAGACAAATGAAAGAATTTGGAGGAGCACTTCACTGCGTCGTCTACTTATATTAAATAAAATACCATAAGCCTAATATAATCATTTTTATTGTACTCGAATACAGCCTGTATTCTTTTATAAAAAACCTATTGAAATGTCTAGTATTTGCTGTTTACCTGTGACTATAAGTACTATAACATTATGAGAAAAAAGAAAACAAATTATGAGCTTCATCCTTTGAAAGCTCTGCATATTCAACACAGTTCTAACGTATACCACTGTAATGTCTTTAAACTCAAAGCTATAACCACATTAAAGAACCAAAATCATTTTACATCTGTCATTACTGTCAAAAGTTCAGTAATGACATTGCAATATTTTAAATCAGCGTAAAAGTTTGCATTTAAAATCATACATCCACACTTTCCACTAAATGACGCGAGTGCGAGAGTGTGGACGGTTCTCTCATGTACCCTCGTCTTCCCTCGCCTTGCCTCGCTGCCGCTCCGTTTTGTGTCGGATTTTTGGGCACGAGTTAAGAGGCCGCCAGGGGGCGAGGTGAGGAGATCGACCACCCTCTCGCGCTCGCTCACTTTGTAGTTAACTGCTGCATTGCAAGGTTTTTATCATGACGGAGTGCAGTTGAAACTTTGCGAATTGCTTTCATGGAATTATGGATTGGTATTTTGAATCCAAAAGCGGGATCGGTTAAGCAAAAAAACCGTAATAAACTTTTAGACCTAAGAAAAAATGAGTCTAAAATTAAATTTATTCCAGCGTGATATGATATTTTTTATTTCTATTTGAAATATACATGTAAGGTATTATAATGTTGGATCATAAAGTAGCTAACGCAGTCAGTCCAATCACGTTCATCTTGTCGAGCAACTAAATAAATCGATAGTGTGGATGGCTACCTTTCGAGTAGCCTGCACTGCCTGCCTGGCCTCGCGAGAGTCTGAAGCCGGCTTTAAACTCGCCGAGTCTACTCGAGGCCAGCCAAGAGCAGTGTGAGAGTGCCTTTGACTGTACACTACCTATGGCGTTAGATGCTTAGTGATTAAACAGTTGGCGTATAACATATAGGACATACCTTCGATTCCCCGCCACATTATAATTGTTTCGTGTTAGTAGGAACAGCCTGATCACCTATGATTCATAGAAAACGGTCTGCCCCATCGGGATGTTAAACATGACATACATGTTATAATTGAAAGAAATATTGCATTAATTATTTATTTCTCTTAGGTAAAATTTAATAATTTAATAAATAACTTAATATAATAAGTAATAGCTTGGAGGTTGTACACGATTAAATTGCCTTTTTTCAATTGGTTTCTTTATTTTGTTTTTCCGTTTAGGCGGTCTTGTCCACACCACAGGATCTTCTGTTGATGGATTTACAAATGCAGCGGATGTGTAGGGTTCTTGACGTAACTTGTTACTCACGACTCTGTAATAAAGAGTATCAAGTACATAAAATATATACACAAATGTTTTGCTAAATACAATAATATATTGCATATTTATTTAGGTAATAAATTTACACTCAATTAAATAAATATTTTGACATAAAGTTTTAAAACATCAACATATTTAATCTTTTCATCTTTAACCAATTTCTTAAAAGCAAAATTTTCCCTAACGATTCAAAACTTTATACATTCACTAACATTCCTCAACGACATCTTCTCTACCTGTCCTAGGCCCAAACGGAAAATGTTCTTATTGTGCAACAAATAACAATAGTTTAATTATAAAAAGTAAGTGTTATGTAGAAATGATTGTCAAGTACCTTTTACATCTCAAAAGTAAGAGACTAGCTACCCACGACAGGGAATCGTAGTGTGGGGGCTAGCGCACTTTTTCACTAAATATTCTTTTTTACTATAAACAAATTTTTTATTTATTTCTCACTAGAAAAGATTTATATTTTAGGATGTCAGTACCGAATAAAATTAAAAAAAAATAAAGTTCTCACGATTTCTAATATAATTTTCCAGCCTTTACCCTGTTCCCTACTTTTATAATAATTACCTATATCCTTTGTCATCAGCAATGTAGTCAAACCGACGAGCTTTCCCCAAAGCGTCCATGTACCCATAGCTTCCAACTACAGTGCCATTTGGGTACCGCTCTTCAGAACGAAACTGGGTATTCCCTGTTTCCGGGTCAAGGACATCGTATCCAAACGTATATGTTCCTGAAAATTAAATATTTTGTAATGCTGGACCTAAAGCTGCTCTTTTTATTACAAAAATTTTGTCTATTAACGAATATTCAATAAAATATATTTCTTTTCTTCTTCTCAAACTTCATTACTTATAGGTCGTGCTTGTCTTGAAAAGCCCTAAGTGATATATTGACCTGCTGCCTCCACACCACTCTATCCTCAGCTTGTCCCAGTGGATTAGGGATGTTGAAACCCATAATTGTCTTTACCTGGTCAACGGGTAGGCGATTGACCCCGACTTCTCCTGCCTCCTCCCTACCATTACCAACTTGTCGAGACTATTTGGTTCTCTCTTGGCTATCTTTTTAAGAGATAGTAGATGAGTGAAAAATTCTAATTCATTTGTTTTCATATTGGTAGTGTTGCCATTTACAAAGCACACAAAATTCTCTCAAATAAATGTGCTTTATTGATAAAGAATCTATTCCCAGGTTAAAATGCGAAAAGAAACATGAGCATTCGAAACTTAAAAAAATTGTATAAGTTATTGATTACTTACAAAACACATTAAGTTATAATTACCATTAGCGCCTCTATTAAAATAACTGGGAGTTTCTTCTGCTAAGCTGAGACGTGGCTGCCTTAAATGCGTAGGCGCCGTTTTAACACTACTTAAATAGCATAAAACAAATGCTGCGATTACCTATAAACAGTGATTGATAAATAAATATATATAATATTAATTACATGCTTAGTAATTAAAAATTATGAGTCTTTGACTGGAGTTCCTCGCAATGTGTGCCTGACATATTTAGTAGATTTTTAAGATTCCAATTTCCTTAAAAGGATTTCCTTCAGTGTTAAAATTCTCAGTCTTTCAATAAAAGAGCGTACCAATTCTTAAAAGGCCGGCAACCCACTTGCGAGCTCTGACCGAATTTTTGGGCGACGGTGTTACTTAACATGAGGTGAGCCTTCAGCCCATTTGTAATATAAAAAAATATGCATGTGTAATTAAAAATATTTTGGCATTTTGAAGTAGGTTTCAAGCGTAACTACTATCAGTCTTGAGGATCTGGGGTCAACCAATAGTTTTTTTCTTTTTCAAGCCCAATTTTTCTACAAGTGATAATTGTTCGTACTGTGAAGGTAGACTTAGTAAACCATGAAGAAGACTACAACTACCCACATAATAAAAATTTCATAGACTCAGTTTTGTATCGCGCAGCCCGGACATACAACGACCAATATTTAAGCCTTGCCTTGTTAAAGCTATCGCGGAATATAGTTAAAAGGTGTGTTAAGAATATCTATAGCGCAAAATCACCTGCATCATGAGCATACCACACAAACACCATACAGCACAGCCAAATGAGGTATCACTTAGTTAAATGTATTGAATAATTTTTATTGTTTGTTCCCTCTTTGTAAATTTTAGTAGGTAAATATGTATTCTATCTCTAGCTATATTATTAGTGTAATTGTTTGTTATTTTATATAATAAGACAGGCTTGTAGATGAATTATTGTTATTTAATTTTGATAAAGAATATATTTAATTTGACATATCTAATCCTATATTTAATGTAATAACGGAATTCTTTATGAACCGCGCTGAATAATGACCCTCGTTAGTAATCCTCAGCTGATACCCAGAGATTTATTTTTATTAATGTTTATTACCCATCCTATGTCAATTTAAGTTCATAATTCATAATATTGAAGACGTATTGTTATATTTCCTTTTCATATTGCTTACATGGTACGAACGTAACACATGGCGGAGGATCTGGGTTCGTTTTCTGTTGAAACAATCGTTTTAGTGATCGGTAGCAATAGATGGCTGGTCGTCTATATGCCTTAGAAACGTTGAAGGGGTTTTTTTTTGGGTAATGAGTAGTTAACTAATGTAAGTTTTGATATTTCTAAACTGATATTTGTTTTTTGACCTTCCGGACTAAATGGATACTTCTTATATATAAAATTCTCGTGTCACAATGTTAGTTACCATACTCCTCCGAAACGGCTTGACCGATCTTTATCAAATTCTATATGCATATTCAGTAGGTCTGAGAATCGCCTACTATCTATTTTACATACCCCTAAGTGATAAGGGTTGTCCACCCCTAACATTTTATTTTTATTTTTTGGACGAAATTTTTATTTTATTTTTTTTTATAATGTGCCATTAAAAATACATACAACCCTTAATTTTTACCCTTCTAAATTCAACACCTATTTTTTATTATAGTAGATAGTTATTTTTATTGAACTAAAAAAATGTTTCCTAGAAATAATATACATGGCAAAACAACGTTTGCCGGGTCAGCTAGTAATTATATAAATATAAGGGTAAATAAGTATATAGGTACAACGTACAGAATATTAATACATTTGCAGTCTTTTGGCGCCTGGTAGATAGTACCGATGAACCTAGAGCAGGTGCTTTCCTCGAATAAGTATCGCAATACAGTGAGGAAATGCTGCCAGCATTTAAGGTACACTGCCAGACGCCCAACTTTTTGAATTTGTTTTAATTTTTTATTTATCAATTACTATTACTATATATGGTAAGAATATTATAAATACTGTATATTTGTGTGTTGGACTTAAATATTATGCATAATCAATAATAAACTAACACTAAACTAGAGACAAGATCCAAAATGCATTTGTTATTAAGTAAAAATTTTATAGATAAAATAATTAATCATAAATAATAATCAAACCTATATATTGGGAATTGTCAAATATTAAAATAAAAATAAAATAAATTCTCACCTTTAACATGGCATCCATATCACAAACAGACCACCGCGGAACAATAACATGAAGGCACCATGGGCAGGCACTTTTATGAGCCGTCTTCTTTCAACTATATTCGGACTGAACAATTCCGCCGTGTATCGTAAAGATAGTGGGTGAAGGTAATTTCGCCCATATCCGTAGGCTGATGTCATGCCATAAGCAAAGGAATGGTCATTTGGAAGGCGACGAAATGTTTTCTGTGGCTCGTAAATCTTATATAGTTAATTAGCCTTTTAGGAGAATTGTTATTGCTCTTATACTGTGTGTGAGTTTTTTCTTTATAGTAATGCAAAAGGATTGCCACGGAGAGCTTTGTAGCTGGCAATGTTTTGCTGGCAATCCTAAGTGTATATTATACAAGAAACTTTACGAATGTTTCGTCGATATTTACGACTTAAACCTTCATTTACAATAAATTCAGACTTTCCATACAAACCGTATAGTTTCTATTTGAACAATGCACGTTTGTGTTTTCTTTTAGTTCCTAATACGCCCACGAAGCGCTGCATACGTTTGCATACAAATATTGCATTTTTGCTGTAAATAAATAAATTTTGTATTATGGTAGCATTTCAATTACACGTATTGAACATGTAAGGTTTCTGTAAAGCTTTTTTTAAAGATATCTTCTTAGTGGTTTTTGTTTTCAATTTTGATATTTTTTTTTCATATTATATTTACTGTACTACTAGCATGCTTGCAACAAAGTATTTTTTTAAATGTAATTCTACGCTTGTCCACATAAGTCATAATATAATTACATTAAGTCCATGTCACTATGTTTAACATTAGTACACGACCTTCGACGGAAGGCCTCCACCAAATTCTTCCACTTGACTCTCATCCTTACCACCATTTTCCAATACCAGCTATCCCTTTAATTCCTTCGCAGGTTTGTGATGGGCGTCCTTTTTAAAGTCATGATATATGATACGTAATAACTCTACGAAGATCGTATCTTTTCAAAAATGCCTATCTATACAATCTGCAAATGTATGCACCGAGTGAGCTCATAAATAATTGAATGAAAGGCGCTATATTGTAAACTACAAATATGGTGACTTTGACATTGCCGGCTTAACCCACACACGCCTACCTTTTTCCACTATTTCTATATTCTACAGGATGTCTGGATTTAAAATGGCGTTTGAATATTACATTTTTTTATTGATATTGGACACTCTTAATACCAGAGGGCTCGCGAGTGCGTTGCCGCTCTATACATTCTAGTTGAATATGTACTTTACCATTAAATTTCCCGTTAAAAACAATATCGTACGTCGAATTTTATGTTTGCATTTTGAAAAAATCTTCACACATTTCTATTGTTATTTTTATAAATAAAAAAATATTAAGCATTGACGAGTCTAGCTCTTAGTCTATCAAAGGCTTCTGTAATTAGTTATTTGTAGTAATAATATTGTAAATAATCATTAAGTTACAACTCGATTTAAAATATTATTAGTATGTTCTTAAACACACGCATTATTTCGTTAGTTCAACTAAAAACAGACCAAATGTTTGGAATCATAAACTAAAAGTGTAAATTAAGCGCTTTGAAAAAGCTTTTAATGAACTATATTTAGATTTTTGATTGCACATTCGTTTGTTTATTGCAAATTTTGATTAATAAATAAAACGCCAAATTGATAAAAAGTTTTGGCGTAAATTTAAGTACAAATCTGTAATTATATTAATAATGAATCAACTGTGTTTTTGTATCAAGCCAGAAACCTTCTTTATTACACTTAAAACTTTTTCTGTGACAAGGCTGAACTTTCTGCCTCCTGTATACAAAATAAACATTTATCAAATCAGTGAAGTGATTAAAAGAAATGTATGAAAATAGCTTCTTGCCATAAACATTTTTATCATAAATCCTGCTTTGGAAGAATTAATTAATACTAATTTACTTTATAATTAGGATCATTCGGAGGATTTTGAGTTCTTTAACTGTTTATCCCACGCATTCTATACATAAAAGTAAATAAAGATAAAGTTAATACTTTATATCCTAATCGGTAATCTAGTCAAGTTAATATACGTATATTTTGCGCTACTAAGGGGCTTCAGCGTGCGACTCTCTTCCCTAAGGTGGTAGGTTCGATCCCCGGCTGTGCGCCAATGGACTTTCTTTCTATTTGCGCATTTAACATTCGCTCGAACGGTGAAGGAAAACATCGTGAGGAAACCGGCTTGCCATAGACCCAAAAATTCGACGGCGTGTGTCAGGCACAGGAAGCTGATCACCTACTTGCCGATTACATTAACAAATGATCATGAAACAGATACAGAAATCTGAGGCCCAGACCTAAAAAGGTTGAAGCGCCACTGATTTTTTTTTAGGTACCCATGTATTTTTATCACAATCTATCTAGATAATAATTAGAATAACGTTGTCTTGCTTATGCGAGTACTTATGAAACTTATGACGATATAAACGAAACTCATTTCGTTTAAATTTTTTAGGAGAAGAACAGATACTGAACACAGATACTGGTCGCCAACCTGCGAGATGTACTAGGGTGTACGCAGACATGTGGCTGACAGGTATTGCAATGTTTTGAAACACCGCCAAATAAGTTACCTAAAATTCACCTTAACTTATGTTTTTCTTTGTTAAAACCGGTAGGATATACTTTTAGCCCTCCCGACATTGAACCATTGTTTTAAAGTCAACTATTACGTTTTACCACTTGTCTGACTCCGTATGTTGTCTTAAACGTGTTTTGACGTATTTGGGAAATTTACGAGGTTACAATGAATCATCTTACTGCAGTGTAGCAATAAGGGATATTGGTGATGTAACAGATTTGTACGAGTAATATTTGCATTTCGATAACTTTAAATCTTACGTAAGAACAGTGTACACATACAAATCCTACTCTACATTACCAGGCATTGCGGGAGTTTGATTCACGAAGAATAAATCATTGTTTTGTCAGGAACAATATCGATCAAATCCTTTCAAAGTTTCTAAGTATGGATGTATGTAACTCTTTCACGTAAAAACTACTGAATGGATTTTAATGAAACTTTACACTAAAATAGCTCATACATCAGAATAAGATATAGGCTACAATTTATAAAAATATCGTATGAATTTTCCAAAATATTAAGTAAGTAGGAAAAAAATCATCCGTCTGCGAGCTATTCTGGCGTTCGCTGCCAAAACCGCTAGAGTTACACTACAGAAATGTTATCTTAAATAGTCCTATCTCTAACTTATGTGTAAGCCATTATAGCCAAAATAGTGAACCATAACTTTAATAAAAAATTATTTCAAATGCACATTCGGTAGTAATAAATTGATTCCTAAATGAAATTAGATACTTTTATTGCATCTGGCATTTAAAGTAGATAATATATGTCTTTCGCGAGTTCTCAGGAAGAATACCAAGCTTGTTCTGTACAAAACACTGCTGCGACCAGTGCTCACTTATGGTTCTGAAACCTGGCCCCTTAGCAAGAAAGACGAGATCTCTCTCCTTATTTTCGAGCGGAAGATTCTTCGAAGAATCTTTGGTCCTGTTTGCAACGACGGTGTTTGGCGTTACCGCTACAATGAAGAACTTTATAACATCCTAGACGACGCCCACATCGTCCAATTCATAAAGTGCAACAGGCACAAGTGGCTGGGACATGGGCACCGAATGGCGAACGACAGAACCCCAAGGTCCTTACTAAACTCACAACCCGGTGGCAAAAGAAAACCCGGTAGACCGAGGCTGCGTTGGTGGGATGGAGTTGTCAAGGACCTCGAAACAATAGGGGTTCGCAATTGGACGCGGGAAGCACTAGGTAGATAGATTGCGATGGCGAAGTGTAATTGAGGAGGCTAAGGCCCACAAGGGGCTGTATAACCATTGATGATGATGATGATGAATATATGTCTTTCACGCTGCATCATTTGGACAAATATTATTTTAATCCTGCACAAAAGAAATCGTGGGCACTAGCTAGTAATCAAATAAATTGGAGTATCATGCCCCATTTTTACATTAATTTTAACGAATATATTCTTAGAAACAATGCTCTTATAGTCATATGATTGTGTAATCAAGAGAGCGACTTGTACTGCGATAGAGCTTGTGTATTTTATGTGAAACGAATAGATATTAGACAAAAAATTATAGTATTTACAAGATTCTTAACCTACATCGTAATTAAAAATTTATAACTAGAAAATCGAAATAAATTTAAAAAGTTCGGTACCTGTGGCAGTATACCATTATTTCTGGCAGCATTTCCTCGCTGTATTGTAAACTTTTTCGTTGAGCGAGGAAAGCACCAGCTCTGGGGTCACCGGTACTATCAACCAGGCGCTATCTGAAATCATTAATTAGCGCCTATGCACTTGTACACCACGGCCCAAGCGTATCTACTCAAAAGGGAACAAAGTTGGAGGAATATTTGAGCTGCTTATTGTTTTCTGCCTGTTCTGCGGCCGCGCCAGCTTTTGTGCTTGTCCGAGGGAGGTAAATCGGGGCTAACGTGTCCACACAAGTAGCATCCCATACCAAAGCCTGTCCCCTCCAAGGGATCAAAGACCTCCTATCGGGCCGCTTGCCAGCGTCTCTAGCGATGCCTGTTGGCTCCAAAATGGCTGGAACATTGACTATTGCAAAATTAAAAAAATCATAATCTACATTTTTTGTGTTTCATGCGTAACGAAATTTCTACGGATTATGTTAATAATTTTAGAGCTATATAACAAGATCTACTCATACGTTTAGGTTTTTATAGCTTTGTTGTGATAGGATTACTGTCATATTAAAGTAATAAAATTATATTTAGCAAAAAATCTCAATTCGTGTTTATATCTATTTTATGTTTCGAATAACTTAAACAATTTAATGGTCCATAAACCCCTTTACACATAATGTCATTGAACTTTGCCTACTTGCAATAAAACGTTGCGGTTTTTCACAAATAATAAGGCTACGGACTAATAATGTGAGAACGCATAGATTGCGGCGTTTGAACACAAGAAGGGTGTCTATCAATCTATGCCCAAAACCGCTTCCCCGCCAAGATCGAATCAGCCTCAAAATTATTATTATTATTATTATTTGTTTTTTTAACTCTTTTAGAAATGATAGTAATAGTGTAACCAACTCATCCTGAAGATAACGCAATAAAGACTTCAAATACGGGGCAAACAGTTACAATTTTGTTTGTCTCTAGTAGAAGCTTAATAAATCGAGGTATTGTCAAACACGATCATAAAATGGAACCTCGGTGTGAATCACTTGATTTTTGCCTCTATGTGTGCATTTTTTGGGCGTTCGGAAAAGTAAACATTGTCCCAAACCCATGGCGTCGAAGCTCCCCTATATTTCTTTATTTACCAAATCCCAAGTAAAAAAACTTTAAAAATAATTAGTGAAACACCCTGCCTGTTCCACGCAAGAAGTCGCGAGACATATAGTATAAAAAATAAAATAATACCTATAACTAACTTAATAGAATTCATTTTGTATCATATGTATTAGCGAATTGTTTTTATACAGGGTGGCCAAAAAGTCGTGGATCAAACGCAAATAGGGGATAGATGAGGTCATCAGCGGCAAAAAATTGTTCTACGGGAGGTCTCTAAGGTAAGGAAAGATATTAGAGCGACTCATGGCCATGTGTAATACCTTTTCAGAATCCCTATGAAATGCGCCAAAACTTGTAATACAGGGTCACTTTTCGGTAGAGTAATTTTTTTTCACAGAGGGGTCTGAAGTAAACAAAAAGTTTTAATTTGAAAAAAAATTATATCGTATAACTTAATATTATCTTCAATACACTCAATAAACAACTATAAATAGTATGTGTTAAGCAAGAACTCATCAGCACCAATCTAGTGGATATTATGAAAAATATACAGGATGTAGATTTTATCGAATTTTAATAAGAATTAGTAAAAAAAAGTCAATTTTCTTATAAAACGCAAAATAAATCATAACTCTGCAGGGGTTGACCTTAGAGACCTCCCGTAGAACAATTTTTTGCTGCTGATGACCTCATCTATCCCCTATTTGCGTTTGATCCACGACTTTTTGGCCACCCTGTATATATATCCGAAAAAAAGTCGGCATAATTCATCAAATTTATATTTCATGATTTAAAATTAAGTACATAGTTCAATATTGTTATAAACTTATCTGATATTTATAAATTACTTAAAAAATAACGTAAATAAAGTACCCAATCCCACAATCGTCAAACAGTCATCAGAACACAATAATAAAATCGCAGTTGTTTTTCCTGAATAGTACTGTTTAATATTTTCTTAACCAAAGAATGCCGGAAGTGAAGGTACTAAGGGAACTGCTGGTGTGTGGACCCGTACCTGAGGATAAAAGAAAGTGTTAACTGAAATTCATACGTAACACCTGTTTCCTTAACAAGTAGCCCGTAATTATCATATTCCATATAACTAAAACTCAAAAAAAAATATAAATATTTGAGGATTTCTTAAAAACCAATTGTACATAGCCAAACAATTAGAAGTCGTCGACAGTAAAAACATGTGTGGACATATGGCATTCAGCTTTGGTTCGGATGCATGCACTTCGCTGTACAAGAGTAATTTAGCAAGTATAGTCAATGCACAATGGTCTATTAATGAATGTATCCATAAGGGTCATAATTTGGATGCAGTCCTATACGGCTACACGGCTAAACGGTTTGCCTTAGCTCACTTAAACAGGCTACATAGCCATGTGAATTCTGAGCCAATCTATCTTGACACAACCGGAATGAGAATAAAGAGAACTAAACCTTTTGAGTTAATAAACCTAGTGTAGTGAATATAAGTGCAAGTGCGGTATCTCGGACACACGAACTTAGTGTCCAAACATTACAGAACACTAAGACTGTTAATAATCATTACCTTAGTTTAAGCTATTCACTAGTATTGTATAAAATTACGTCAACATAATATTATTAGCCATAATTATTGTGTAGGCTAGATTGTAATTCATGTAAAGTTGCACTCTCTTTTGTGAACGAACGTCGTTGACCTCTTGCCAAAATCACAGCTTGAATCCTTCTGGGCATGCATTAAATTATTTAAATTTAATTAACTAAAATCGACTTTAGAACGCAAATTGCAAAAAAGTTTATAATCTATAAGAACTTCTTGATGAATTACGCGTTGTATTGGCATCTTTTTGGCTTTGCGTTCATTCCCAATAATAATTATACTGTAGTAGAATGTAGTGTTGACGTTTCTAAGATCTTTGCCACAATTAAGAATAAATAAGAGGATGATCATAGGTTGTATTTTGTATACATTATTACCTTTATATTATATATTATGTGCATTGTGCGCAGTTTAATTATGTATGTATTCATACTTACAGGATGCGTATAATGCCCAGTTTTGTGTACAACAGCATTAAAACCATTATGATCATCAGCAGTGTATGTCACCGTGCGCGTAGATCCATCAGGCTCCACTAGAGAATAGCTTCCTGGACAAGCAAATTCCACGTTACTCAATTCAACTACTTTTATTATTTCTGAAATATAGATTGTGTGAGGTATTCGATTCATAAGTAAGGGAAAAAGCAAACAAACAAACCAGTGGCGCTACAACCTTTTTAGGTGCGAGCCTCAGATTTCTGTATCTGTTTCATGATCGTTTGCAAATAATAGGAAAATAGGTGATCCGCCTCTTGTGCCTGACATACGCCGTCGACTTTTTGGGTCTAAGGCAAGCCGGTTTCCTTACGATGTTTTCCTTTAACGTTCGAGCGAATGCTATAGGGTGTCTCAGTAAGAGTGCACTTTTTAAAATTGCAATATTTTTGTTTTCCTGCAAGTGGCAACTCTCAAATTTGACAGCTGTCACCTCTGTTTATTCCGATTATTAAAAATGGAGCGCTTTTTGAAAGAAAAACTCGTTATAATTGTGAAAACTCATTACAAAAGTGACGCTGAAAACGCTCGCAAACTTCACCAAATTTTCAGCCGAGAAAGTGCACCTAATGTGTCAATGATTCGAAGAGTGGTCAAAAAATTTGAAGAAACTGGGTCAATTATGGATAGTAAGAATCCTTTGCGTCAACGTACCGGTCGTTCCCTTGAAATAATTGCTGCTGTAAACGAGAGTGTCGCCAAATACCCGAAAACATCATTTCGACGCAGCAAATTTTGACTAAGACCTTCATGCGTACAAGATTTACTTAACTTAGGAGCTCAAACCAGCAGACCAAGGAAAACACCGGCAATTTGCTCAATGAGTAATCGAGCAAAGGGAAGTCGATGCCAATTTTTCGAAAAAAATCATTATCTCCGATGAACTGAACACATTATCTCACGAAATTCTGATGTCAACTGGTCACCAAGATCGTACGATTTAACGCCGTGCGATTTTTTCTTTGGGGTTTTGTGAAATATCGAGTTTATGCGAATAAACCCGAAACCATTACTGAGCTCAAATCGGAAATCCAACGCGTCATCGGTGAGATATGCAAATCTCATGGATATGCAAAAGTCATGGAAAATTTAATGAAAAGTGTATTGGCCTGTCATCGGAGCCGTGGAGGTCATTTGCCGGATATTTTATTCCATACTTAATCGGAACATGTCTTCTTACAATACAATAAAAACATCAGAACTCTGTCATAAAATACTTGTCTTTATTTAAAAATGAAAAAGTGCACTCTTACTGAGACACCCGTTATATGCGCACATAAGCAGAAAGTCCATTGATGCTCAGCCGTTGATCGAACCTACGACCTCAAAGATGAGAGTCGCACTAGGCGCACACTGTCTAAGTAACTAACTAAGGGAAAACTTTAGGATTTTAGCTTAAAATCTCTTAAGACATAATGTATATAATTTTATAGAATCTGTTAAGATAATCTAGAACCTCGTAGAGCAGGAAGTCAATAGTCAAAAAACTGTTACACACATTTACATTGTACAATTTTTATTCATATCACCTCTTACTACATCGCCATTTCTCTCTTCTTGTTGTGACTTAATATCTCCTGTGTGCGGATCCTTTACTCCATAGTTGAATGCGTATCTGGGATAAGTCTGTTGACGAATTTCAAATGAATATAGCTATCTAAAACTTTACTAAACGACGTGTTCTTTTGAATACCATTGATATTCTGAAGAACATGTAACTTGAATTGACGAAGCTATTTTTATTTGTTTATAACATTACAATCGATCCACATGAAAACTAGAAGAACAAGGGTGACTTTGTTGCGATTTATTAGTAAATAATTATATGTTTAAGTCAGAGAAAAGTCATCTTTGGCTATATTTTAACAAAAAAAATCGACATCGTATCTATTTATATATAACCCAATTGTATGAAGAATCTAGGGGTAAAGAACAGTTAGTGCCAGTAGGAAATTATAAAATGTATGGCATTTACGAAAGCCCCGTGAAATTTGTCATTTAATTAAATCGTTACTTACAATAGGTTGAACAGCAACTGGTGCGTGAATAGCTGTCTGGTAGACAGGGGCAAAGATAGGAACTGCTAGTACTGCACTCGCACAGGCCAGAAGAACAGCCCAAAGCTAGAAAAATATAGAAAGTTTGGTGCAAATCTTGTAATTTAATTTTGAATTACGACTTGATAGTTATGTCAGTTTGAGCAGAAAAAAATGTTTATTAGTCGTAATTATTGTATTTAATAAATACGTAACCAATACCAAAAGAATCAAAATGTTCTTGATTAATTCCTTAGTAATAATAAACAGCAGTGGGATGGCTCATAGCGTATAATTAATTAGTCCGTCCGTCCTGGCGAGAAATTAATGTTTTTGAGCAAGTAACGTTATTGCACCAACAAAATAGACACTGATACATGCATATAACACAAACACAAATACAAGCCAAGTGCTACCCCAATTATAGGCGCATACAACATTCTAATTATTATACACTAAACACTAAAAAATAATTAAGTCAAGATAAAATAAAAATATAACAAAATTAATCCATCATAATATCCCTGATAAAATCCTAATGACTAATCAGTTCAGCCGCTAACTTTTTGAGAATTGATGAGGAGTTTGAAAAAATATCTATTTGGGGGAATTTACGACCCCCCCACTGCGATCCAATACCACCATCAATTTCAGCGTTATAAATTGAGTTAATTATAACTCCTTAAAGATCTATTTAATGGAGCATTCTGACCCAGATTCGATTTTGCAAACTTAATTCTAAAAGGAGGCTTTGTAAATCGAGGATGAAACAGATACAGAAATCTGAGGCCCAGACCTAAAAAGTTTGTAACGCAACTGATTTATTTATCTTTAATAATTTAATTCATTTTTTTAATTCGTTACTGTTCTTATGTTAACATAGAATTCATAAAACTGGATAACTGGAGGGAAAAATTATTTACAAACTAATATAGATTCTAATTCCTATACAAGTATGCAACTCACCAACATTGTGCCAAAACTAACACTCACGATAAGATCTGGCTTAACCTAACTAGCTTCTCGAAATATCCTAGCTTTATAAAGCCCCTTCTCAGATACAGACATAGTATTGGTAGCAAAAACTATTTCTAAAATTCCTTCGCTATATTCGCTATAATTTGATACTAGAAGAAACTATTGATTCTGTGCACTTTTAAATATCTGTGAAACAACAGTAAACTATAGATTTATATTATCTAGAGAGATTTTTGACAAAAACGTGGCCATTTTATTAAATAATGTTTAAAATATGTTGATGAAACGATAATATAATACTAGTATTCATATAAATGTAGTCCCCGAGTCATATAAATGTAATTCCTTATTTAAGGACACTACAAGTCATGCTTCTGTGCCCAACATATATGATTAGCCAGTTATCAAACCCAGGCACCAGGGCTAAACACGTGCGTTAATGTTTAAGATATGGATATTTATAAATCAGTGATCAAATATTTGTTGTGTTGTAATTTTAGTTTTGAAGAAGCTTTTTGACCTACTTTAAATATATGTAACAAGTTTACAATTCGTATTAACTCTATGGATATATCCACCACTGTATACAGTGGTAGGAAATTGCCAGGGCCTCCTAGCTTAACTAAATACTCTCACGCTTACAAAAATGCTAAGACTAAACAAGAATCCCGTTGTTCTTATTAGTTCCACAAATCAACTTTCTCCTTATAGGCATAATATTTCATTTACCCTAGTTCAAACAAGCACATATATACTAATATTACTAGAAAAACAGCAATTTATTTATTAGGCATTTGACACAATTATTACAGTATTGACAAGTATTAGTGCTCTAAAGCAACAAGTTTTAAATTTTTCCCATAATCCCATAATGAGGTACGTGGCAGACATATTTCTCAGTCTTTTTTACTGATAAGTACTGGTATCATATAGCTTCAGCGTTCTCTGAGTGGAACACAACGGTGTTCTTACGACACGAGAAAGGTTTCATTGCAGGAGAAGAGTTCATTGGTGTCCCACTGCAGTTCGATCTCACGACCACCGGGTTAAGAGTCGCTCTCTATACTTATACATTATTATAGCATATTTACATATAGCTAATCTGCGACACAGTGTACAGCTTCTTCGCAGACCTATATAGATAGAAATGCCATTTTCAAACCTGTTACTAATTTAAAAATTAAATCAACGGAAAACAAATTCAAAACGTCTTCTTTAAACGTGATAACTTTAATTTGGTAATGACGTTAGACTCCTAGTAGCGAAAATCCAAATTCTTATTCAATATATTGGATAAGAAGGACAGGAAGGCATAAGGCAGCAAATGTTTACAAGGTGTTTACAAAGTATTACTTTAAATATTACGCATCATCCCAGCTAAATGTCAGTGCTTAACCTAGCAGATACATGAATATTAATAGAATCTTTATAAGACTTGCACCTACATAACTGGTTTTAATTTTTTGTAATGTAATCAAGTATTTATGTGAAAAGAAGAAAGAAAAAGGCCGACAACGCACCCGCGAGCCCTCTTGCATTGAGAATGTCCATGGGCGGCGGTATCACTTAACATCAGATGAGCCTCCTGCCCGTTTGCCCCAGGGAAGTCCCCCGTAATAGACGCACACGCAAAAAAATACATCGACCGAAAATAAACAGGAAGTCCAGGTCGATCACCTACCCTTTGGTTCACTAAATTAAGACAATTGTGGGTCTCAACATCCCTAATGCCTTGAGAAGCTGAGGATAGAGTGGTGTGGAGACAGTCGACGTATCGCTTAGGGATTTTCAAGACAGACGCGACCTTCAGTAATGAAGACTACGAAGAAGAAAGTATTTATGTATCCGTTCAATTAGTCGAGTCTCTTCTACGATTGTAATTTAGTAAAAAGTACTAAATACATCCGGAATGGCGACAAGAAACGAAAGAACAGTAGCACACTAACGAAACAATACTATCCAACTTCTAAATTGTCTTCCTCTTTATTGTACCTTGGGCGCCAGTTTAGTACGTTCTTGCTCCACTTTTCTGTTCCTCTTGCCCCGCCCATTTCCTCTTAAGTTTATTTATTTATCAGGACATCTGCTATTCTTCTTAGTGATATATTCTTTATTTTATCATAAATATTTATTTTTATAGAACAGGGGGAAAACGGGTAGGAGGCTCATCTGATGTTAAGTCATGCTGCCGCCCATGGATAATCTATTTTTTCTCTCTTTCATTTTATTTCCTATCATACCTTCCATCGATTTTTGACACACTCGTAGTTTTGTATGCTGCGCTTTGGTTTATTTTTAATTATTAATAGTATTAAATCATGGTCGTTTAATACAATTAATTGTAATTTTTCCTTCGGAAGAAGATTGATTAAAAATTACGTGCCATCGTAAATTAAGTGCCATCTCCTTGCGAAGGTTGGCGATCATCATGGCTAGTTTAATTTTGGATGCCGCACTTCTAAACAATGACTTGGTGCTTTGACTAAACCATTGTCTTAAGTTTTTCAACCTTTAGGAGCTTTTAATTAATATAAAACTTAATTAAAGTAGAACATTGATCAATAGCCACAGTATTATGACGATTTTCCAGGAATATTTTAAGTATAAATTATAACTAATGAATCTCATTTTAAATACCTTTTTTAAGATGAAAAATCTAACCTAAATCTAAAATCAATTAAATGGTAGACAAGATATTATAACGTTTGGATTCCTTTGCGCAAATGTACCTCAATAACAGATCGGGCCTTAACCCAGTCCAGATATAAAGCTAACTATAATTTACGACTGCATCTTGATAATATGATTAAACGCTGAGTATATAACATAAACATCCGTGCATCCCACGAGGAAAGCTCTGAAAACAAAGCCACAATTTGAACCGCCGCTGTGCCCTACGCATCACGCCAGAATGGAAAGTGCGTTATTATTTATTTCCGTCTATTCTCTACCTTTAGTACAGATATAGACACCGCATTGATCAGACAGATAATATTGATTGATCGACTTAAATGCGAACCTACTGTGCACTACAAATGGACTTCGGTTGCTACGACAAGGATTCGGGCGAAGTGGAGTGCTACCTCGAAATACGTAAATAAATTTTAAACGAAACTAATCGTTTATTTTCGATCGTATTGTAATTGATATTTTTAGTTGGATTGGATGTTTTTGGGTCGTGTAAACACGCGGTATTCTGACTGTGTCTGTATGTCAGTCTGTGATCGTTAGCCGAGTAAAACACTGTTATGAGTAATTAATCCTTTCGTTTAATTGATTGACGATGCGTGCGGAAGTCAGGTCAATGAATTCGAGGCGCGATGATTTGCCCAGCCGTGAGTAATTTAAAGGATTGAAATAAATTGTACTCATTTATCAGTTTAATGATGATTTTGGAAATTTTAGATTGCGATACGGGCACATCTTGCGCTTTCACTATACATATGCGTAAGTATTTAAACGTCCAATTAATTTTTTATTCGTGTTATAAATACAAAGCTTTTAAGTCAATTAAGACTAACTGCATATGTACGGAGTACTTGAGAGTTAAATACGGAGAGATTTATTAGTTTTATCTTTTGAATGATGTCGATTTGCCCGCTCCCGCTGTTAATATATTAAACCTAAATTATTACGCGTCGTAAGTCTGATACAAATAAATAGATTGATTAATGTCTAACGTTGACCGTGTACTAGGGTATAATTTTCATTCAGATCGAATTTTATTTCTTCTTAAAGTAGCTATTTTAGCGTTTAAGGTATTAAATTGTATTCGTATATGTATGATTATAAGGTACAATATTTAACGTTATACACGCCAATTTATCTTTTACATAACTTTAGCAAACATAAAATAATAAAATTCATTTAAATTTATGCATACAATTAAGACCTTTGATTTATAGCCGATGCACGGCTACCAGTCAAGTATGTTTGATTTTATTTGTTCTTATGTTGGTCATATTATATTGTTATAGATCTTGTTTCAGCAGCAAATCCAGAGGCAGCTGGGTGTGTGGAGAGATTCGCAACATTCATGTCACTCCTTTTGGTCATTATCACTTTCCCATTCTCACTATTTGAATGTTTTAAGGTAAAGTTTATCGATACATTTTTAATAGTTAAACTAACTATAAAGTCATTGAGTTTAAGTGTCTTTCCTCCAACTTTGATTGTGTTCCCATTGGAGTATAGACTCTTAGGCTGAGGGGTTTAAGTGCTCAGGCGCTAATTAAAGATTTAAGTTGGCGCCTGGTAGTGGTACCGGTGACCCGACAGCTGGTGCTTTCCTCGCTCAACGAATAAGTACAGTGAGGAAACGCTGCGCGCGTTATTGGTACTATGCCACAGGGACCAAACTTTTTAAATTTCTACTTATTAATTTTTACTATGTAAGTTATGAATATTGTAAATACTTTATATTTGTGTGTTGAAAATATATATTTCTCAACATAGTAATAACTATAAAGTTAACCAAATAATATAAAGGACAAATAAATGCGGTCTTGTTAATTGTGTACATGTTACTATATATATATTTATACTAAATCTTTATTGAATACTTAAAAAAGCCAATAAAAAACAAAATGTTAATAAAGCTTTTAACACAATTTGCTGTTACTAACAACTTATTTAAGGTTTGAAATATTGGATTTACACATTTATACAATATGTGTCAAACTTCATAACATTGGAAATATGAATGAAATACGATAAATCTTCATTCCCACTTTTGAACAAACAATGCCAACACATTTTGTTTAGCTCATGCAGTTCGTTCAGCGGCCTCTCCATTTTATCTTCGTTTAAAATAATAAATAAGACTTCGTTAGGTAATAGTCACGTTTATTAATTAAGCTTTTGGCTTCGACTTCCACTATCCTTTATTAAAATAATCTGTGTAATATTATTGTTTAATCATGCAGTATGCTTGCAGTACCTACATTTCACCTGATTTTGCAGGTTGTTCAAGAATTTGAAAGAGCGGTAATATTTCGACTAGGAAGACTAAGGAAAGGTGGCGCAAGAGGTCCCGGACTATTTTTTGTCCTACCATGCATCGATACATATAGAAAAGTGGACTTGAGAACTGTATCGTTTGATGTTCCACCGCAAGAGGTATACTATTACATATATAGATATAACATAATTAAAAATAAAAACAAATACAAAACACGATATTTAATTAACTCTTGTCTAGATGTATAATTAGATGGATGGTGGCCTTAAATGTAACAAGCAATCCCTTCCAGGCGACCCTAACATATAAATGGGATACAGTTTTAAGAGTTGTGTGTGTATTCGTATGCATCATAATGTTACAACAGATAAACCACTTCTTAGAAGCATCTATATTCCAAAGGCACTACCTTTTGGCCTGAGATTTCTGTATCTGTTCCGTGATCATTTTTAATAGGCATGTAGGTGATCAGCCTTCTGTGCCTGACACACACCGTTGATATTTTGGGTCTACGAGCGGGTGTTAAATGCGTACATTGACAGAAAGTCCATTGGTGCACAGCCGACACCAAAGATGAGAGTCGCATGCTTAAGCCAGAAGCCAGCTAGCCTTCTAAGAAGCATCTAGTAATTCATTATATATATTGCAATTATTAAACCACAAATGCGCTGCCGGATGCTAACTTTACTTCTAAACAGTTAACCCAAATGTTCGTTCCCGTTTAATTGACGTGGCTGTAAACCGTCAATCAAACTTTTACGACGAACAATTGTTCCGATGTAAACCAATTGTCTTAAGAAAATCTCATAAAACAGCTATTTATAATGACAAGGTTATGCTGACGGAGTTTTTATATCAATCATAGTAGGATATTGGATTACGGAGCAGTGTTTTCCTAGTGGTTAGGAAGAAATTGTTGATTGCGTATTAGGTGCATATCAGGGATCATAATGTGCAAATAATATCTAATATAAATCAACCAAGGTGTTTTAAAGTGAAAAAATAAGACGAAAAACAAAAGTAATAGATGCCTTACATTATGCCCTAAAACAGAACATATAACAAGATGCACAGATAAACAGTGGACTTTAAAGACTATATGGAGAGGACAAAGGGGAAGAAGGAGAAGAGGGCTTCCCAAAAAAATGTGGATAGAAGAAATAGAAGCGTGAGCTTCCTTCCTTTCCAGGAGAAAGAAAGCCATGTCCATTATATATTTGGAAAAGGCTAAACAGCTGGAAGAGGCCTTTACCCGTGAAGGGGTTCCGATTAATAATATTGAAGGAAGCTAGGATATTAGGATAACAAGAAAAAAATGTATATAACAAATTTGGCTGTCTATTCTACTTTTGTTATGATTAGAAATATAACGGGCTTTGTTATTATTATGTGGGCATAGGCTTCTTACATAAAAAATAAAAAATATCATTAAAACGGTTACCGGAATGTACCCGACCCTTTTCAAAAGTGCCGATTTCTTTCTTCTTTCTCGTAAGGGTTGAAAAAAACGAAAACAAGATAATTATAAATAAATAAATTTAACGGCTGGCAACACATGCGACTCTGGCAATGTAAGTATCCATGGACGGTAGATATCAGATATCAGATGAGCCTCCTGCTCTAATGCCCCCTGTTCTATTGCCCCCTGTTCTATAAAAAAAACTTAGTCACAATCTCGTCTTGAGTATTTTGATGTAATTTATATTGTTTGCCATTCTAGAATACGAATGTATCTTACAAAATACAAAACCTTTAAAGCTTATAGAGCTCAAGGCTCATCATAATTTTGCGGGAACAGTGTTTATTTGAACTTGTCGAATATTATTAAATCGCTAACAGACGCAGTACAGTGAGCGGCCGGTTGCCCTCATTTGCAGGATTCGATTGATGGCCAGTCAATAAATCTAAATAATGCATAGCTATTTGATTATTTAGAGTAAATAGTTATTTCATGTCGTATATTATTAAATTATTTAGTTGCACAGTCATTAAAATGTCTACATATTAAATGTGTCCTATTTTGTGGCTTGGTGGATAAGTATGCTTTAAGTTCTAACTATCGAAGTACGCACAACGGTGGTACTATCTAGTGAGTGTCTCCGTGCGACAACTGAGTCCACCAACCATCCAACTATCGAAGCGCACCAATACATCGATCCTGCCCCAAGTCCGCATACAAACCATAATATGCCGACAGCAAATTGTATCTTATTTCGGCCATACAAAGCGCAGAGGCGATTAGAACTTGGAGAAACGGTTGGTAACACAGAAGGCAAAAGATCACGTGGCCGTACATCAACCATTTGGACCAGTGAAGTGAGACTCATCGTCCTCAAATCTATACACTGTCGTTAGAGAGGCGTTGGACAGAAACCGGTGGAATCAGATAGTCCGCTCCAGAAGCTTCCTTGCTGACCACGACGTTTAGACATGAGCATGAAATATGTTTTCCTTATGTCAAAATCCCTATACGTTTTTGGTTTACAGTAGTTACACTTGTTGAGTCTCCAGGAATGTCTCGTAAAGTATTTTCCGTGGGTCAGCACTGTGTGGAACCTATTCCCTGAAAAATCCGTATTAACATCCTTCAGGAAAAAAACATAGCAATCAAAAGTCAAACAATGTGCCACCCCCTGGTCTCTGTCTCCATGTGTTGTTATCACTAAGTGAAACACTGCATTTAGATTCTTCGTCTGGTGGTTTAAATATTTATATATGGATCACAAAAAGCTTGCTTTAGATGTACACAACGATTCTAAACTAAGATATCTATAGTTAATATTATCTGTAAATATCTATTTCAGGTTTTAACGAGAGATTCCGTGACGGTAGCAGTAGATGCAGTCGTCTATTACAGAATAAAAGAACCTTTAAATGCCGTCGTTAGAGTTGCTGATTATAGGTACAATACATAATAACCATTGTACCTAGTAAGTTTTATGTAATAATAAAAACATTAGCATTGATTTTGGGCTCATGTTTCTTTAATAATTTATCTTTTATAGGCAAGAGAACTGCATTTAGTGTCTGACACACTCAGTCAATATTTGGATCTAAGACAACGCGGGTTCTCGCAATTTTTTTATTATTATTGTCCCTTTCACTTTTCACATATGTTTTAATTGATTTGATTTGTTCCATTAGTTTTGTCTATATAATTATGTCTTATGTAGTTTTGCACTTCACTTTTTATTTAATTATTTTAATCTTACTATATTTCTATATACTTGCAAAGAAGTGTTAATAAAAAAGATCAATGTTTTGTTTCATACGTTAAATAACGAACGAAAAGTCACGCGCCTAGCAACTATGCCAAAATATAAATTAAATAAAAATAATTAAACATTTCAGTGCATCCACCCGTCTTCTAGCTGCCACTACTCTGCGCAATGTATTGGGAATGCGAGACTTGGCACAGCTGCTCTCCGACCGGGAAGCCATCAGCCACATGATGCAGGCCAACCTAGATGAAGCCACAGATCCCTGGGGTGTTGAAGTGGAAAGAGTTGAAATGTATGGTTCTTAATTAGTCCATGTACGAGCCAAGGCTGTACATTTTTCTCACTCAGGCTATCTTAGTTTTATAAGCATGAAATTTCCAAATTCGTCGGAGTTACGCCCCGAGAGTGTAGCCAGACGTAGGCACTCTCTTCAACTGTTACTTCGCATTCATTCGTTACATCCAACGCTTCGCCGACTGGCCCTCGGCCTCCATTCAAGGACTACGTTGTCCCGATCGGCCATCGGTTGCCCATTGCCATTTAGTACTTTAGTTATTCTACGGATCTCTTCATGTCTAATTCGAGTAGAGAAACATCGTGCATAGACCTCTCTATAGCTCGAGCGCCCCAGAGCTTATATACCAGGCTTGAAGTAAGAGACAGCCGTCATCACTGGTAGGCCGCTCTGTTCTTAGACTATTGACTTTATAATTATTAATACAGTTTACTGAAGGCTGCCCATCCAAGGCGGATTCTTTGACTGTCTTCCTTTTCGTAGTTGGATCTACTCAATTGTATTAAATGGCCTAGGTAAAGTTTCCCAATGTTACTGGAGAACACGCGGCATTTACGTTCATTAATTTCCGTACGTATTCTACAAACTAGGCATAGTGGTAAATTCTACTCTTCGGTTTTCTATACCACCTGCCTAAGCGTATGTATGTAGTTGATTTTACTGTCAACCAATATGTTTTATACCAAAAGAACTATTTTAACAATTTTAGCAAAGACGTACGCCTCCCAGTACAACTGCAGCGTGCTATGGCCGCGGAAGCCGAGGCAGACCGAGAAGCAAGGGCCAAAATAATCGCCGCTGAAGGAGAGATAAAGGCTTCTCGGGCATTGAAAGAAGCCTCCCTGGTCATGGTAGATAATCCTATGGCCCTTCAAGTAAGAATATATTTATAATCTCTTTATTTTTTTAATCAGAAAAATTAAAGTATCGCTACACATCAAATGTCACATGAAACTTAAATATAAATAAAATACGACCTTAAACTCTATTAAGTAAATAATATACCCACAACCCGTGGGCATACCTCCCCGTGAATGGGGTTATGCAGGGAATAATTATATACTAAGCTAAACGTATCTTCAGGATACTGCACCATATTGTGGAAGGATATCTAATTACTGATAATAAAATTATGACGACCTTAAATTGTCAAATTGATGAATATAATTGAAATTTCAGATTGTCAAATATTTTTTTTAATTTTCAGCTACGTTACCTTCAATCACTGAACACGATATCTGCTGAGAAGAACTCAACGATAATATTTCCGTTTCCTATGGATTTTTTAAGAAGCTTCATGAGTCCTGGAGCAGGCACCAGTATTACACACTCACCCTTGCCTGTTTGATCTCTTCTTTAAGTTGTTCTTCGTTACTCTAATAGGACTCATTTCCGTATACAATGATATTAAGAATTAGGGTTAAATAAGTACCTTAGATACTATGTTCTATAGAATATAATATTTTGCCTCTAGTGTAAACAAAATGAGGATTTGTTTTTTTAAATTTTTTGAATGTTTGCTTTTTTGTGTTCGTCTGTAAATTTTATTCACTTTGCGCACTCTTGTCAATTTAGGGTCGCCTATTAAGGTGCGCTTACACGGGCAACTAAAATTGCTCAATTCCAGTCAATACTCGTCAACTATGACGTCACGACTACATCAAGCAATTTACGGCAACGGCAACAAGCATCAATACTGCGCAATACAATATTGAGCGATATGGCGCAACTTCATCAACTAGGCAATACTGTCCTACACGAGCAATTCAGTATTCGCTCGCTATGGACGACATTGTTCTTGCTGCGGCGGATTGTAGCTTTTTTTTTATTATTAATTAAAAACAAAAAAGAAAGATAAGGAATAGACGTATCTGGGTGCGATCGTTTTTGGCAAAGAGACCGCAATCTTCATTATGTAAAGAATTAGATGATATATTATTCAAAAAATTTACTAGAATGTCACGAACAGACTTTAAATTACTTTTGAACAAAGTAATTAGAAATTATTATTATTTAGACCTCTCGCTCTCCCCGCGGAAGCAAGACGGCAAGCCGCAAAACAAACAAGTGCGAAAGAGATATATACAAAAATTGCTACGAATTTCCAAGTCCATTGGATATTCGTCAATTCGTATCTGCGACATTGAGCGATATGAAATATCTGGAGCAATTAGAAGAAATATCGCCGAAATAATTTATTGAAATTTATTGAATTTATTGAAATTGCTCTATTAATTGCTCCAGATCGGTCCATTCGTGTCGCTGAGCAATTATTGCCCTCGTGTAAGCGCACCTTTAGGGCAGGAGTGTTTTTATAAATAATAATAAATGAACAGTAATGATTTGCTTTCACTACCAAGTATTAATTGTAGTACTATTTGTCTCTAGTCCATGTTACTTAAGTTGTAGATACATTTGTGGTATTATCTCTAATATAATAAAGTGCATATTTTAATTATAATTTGTCTTGCTTAATAACAAACCTATTTCATACTCCGCTTATATAAATGATGAAGCTTTTAACAAAAAGGTAATTGGCTAATTATGTGTTTATAAAAAAGAGTTTAGAACTATTCACATTATTTTCTTTAATTGTATGGGATGTGCTATCGTGTTATAAATCACAACCCATTTTTATCTTTGTTAATTGATTTATTATTTACAAACAACAGTAATTAATTCAATATATTAATATAGAAACGCTCGTGGAAAAAAAACATATATCTCACTCGTCTAAAGTCTGTTCTGAGTGACGTTCGTTTTCTTCTTTTTTTAACGACCAGTATTTATGTTGCCACATACATCAAAATATTATTGAAAATACTACACAAAATAGTATGTACATTTAAGTGCGTATCTACGATTACATAATAATATAATGACTAAAACAAGGTGACACTTTAAAAGTGTCATCTCTTTTTAATGCTTCATGTCAACCTTGTTGCAATTATCAAATCAAGATTTTTTTAAAGATATTTATTCTCAGCTTGTTTGCTGTCATGTGAGACTATTAATTTTGATATTGCTTCATTTATGACGTACAAAATGATTAAAAATATAAGATCTAAAATAGATCTGACAGGTAAGTATTCAGTTTATAAAATAATAATAATTTTAAGTAAGCCTTAGATCCCACGAATACTTATTTTTTACATAAGCAAAGAGAACTCGTAATATTAAGAAAGGAACTCAAAGGCAAGTAGTACTTTGAGTGTATTCATACAAATGATCTCTGCCTTTTGCCCTCTGTTTTAATATAAAAACACTTCACACTTCTGTGTAGAGATTCAACTGAATTTTTATTTCAGAAATACGTAAAGAAACGTTGATAGAAAGAGTATTCAAATTGATTGCTATATTGATGGTAATAGTTTTTCCTGTCGCTTTGGTGTTCTGTTTTCGGGTAAACTTTGATGATATTATTATTTATGTACAAACATAACGTTGTCTAATAGTTTTTATCGTTCATTCCTGAGTATAAAATATTATTTCAGGTTGTAAAACAATATAAAAGGGCGGTTATTTTACGCTTTGGTAGAGTAAGAGATGACTCTCCAGTTGGTCCTGGTATAATTTGGGTCGTTCCATGTACTGACAACATTGTATTTATAGATATGAGAACTCAATCTTTTAACTTGGCTCCACAGGAAGTACAGTTTTTTTATAATTTAATATTAAACAATATCCCTTTATATTTTAAACGCCTGCCAATATATTTCACGCAATTGTTCTTCCTTACAAATTCTTTTAACTTTAGCGCCTGATTGTCTGTTCAACTAAACTATATAAGTACAACCGTTAATCCAATAAAGTTTTGTATGTTGAATACGTATTAAGTTGTAGTGGTTTTTCAATATTTCAGATCTTAACAAAAGACTTGGTGACAGTTCACGTTGATGCTGTCGTATACTTTCACGTCATGAATCCACTTTGCAGTCTGCTTAACGTCCAATCACACAAGTAACTCTTCTTTCGATTCATTGTCTGAAATAAAACTTTTATTTGTAGCTTTACTTTGTCCGCCAAAAACCCACTGATTTTTTAAAAACTTGCAATTTTAATTGCGCCTATTACAACAAGAATTTTATACGCTCTGGTCTCGCTAGACATTAGCACCAAATCCATTGAGATGCTTGACCCCTTGGTGTTTCGTAGAGATATGTGGTCTCTCTGCATCTTCTACGTTAAATACTCCAGGGAGTATTTAGAGGAGTTGTGTCGGATTAATGAGGTTCGGAATTAATTAGCTGAGTCTCATACAGAATACAAAATTCCAACCGTATCACCTCGACGTTCGTCGTTCCACAACTGAGCGTTTTTAAGGCAGTTCTTGCCGCGCAACACTATGTGGAAGCAGCTAGCCACCGAAGTATTTCCGAACCAATTCGACTTAGGGTCCTTCAAGAGAAGAACGTACTAATTCCTAAAAGTCTGGCAATGCAATCGCGATCTCTTTGGGATTCTCATTGAGAGGGCCCAGGGCGGCGGTATTACTTAACATCAGATGAGCCTGCCCGTTGCCCCGTTCTATAAAAAAAAATCTGAGGGTGAAAATATTAAAAAAAACTTATATATATATATCAAGTAATGGGAATGTTGAGATTCTTTCAAGTGTGCATCTTTGAAAGGAATTGAAATGTACAAAAATATAACATTTTCCCTTTTCAGAAAAGCTACTGAACTTCTCTCAGTGGCACTTTTAAGAAATATTTTAGGACAATTTACGCTCTCCGACTTACTTTCGAATCGATTTAAAATAAGTGATGCCCTTCGTAAAGAAATCGATAAGGGAACGATGGAGTGGGGCGTCGAAGTTGAAAGAGTTGAAATGTAAATATAATTATAACTGACGCACGTTTGGAAGGTCTTCTAGAACTTAAATCTGAAAAAACATTTCAGTAAAGATGTGATACTGCCCTTTGAATTGCAAAAGGCAATGGCAGCAGAAGCGGAAGGATCGCGAATCGCTAAATCCAAAATAATAGAGGCAGAAGGAGAGATCAAAGCCGCAGAAAATCTTAGAGATGCTTCAAAAATCATGATGGAGAATCCTAAAGCCATGCTGGTAAAGTAACAACAAATACGACCGGAAAATAACCACTGGGTTCAATAATAACTTTATTGTATTATATTTTTGCAGCTCAGATATTTGCAAGCTTTGAGTACAATTGCATCCCAACAAAGGAATACAATTATATTTCCATTCCCAATTGAAATTCCAAGGCAATAAAAACTCACGAAAAAAACAATGACAATAAATTTTTTAGTTCTGTCCGTTCTGTCAAATTCTTTTGCTGTTTCTATAAGTTTACACGTTTTCTATAAACCACGCTATGTCTGAACACGAAGAGAAGTTAAAAGTTAGTCAACAAGAGCCGCGGCAGACGTCCATTTCACTCACTCCAAAAGACGTTGAAAAGGGTTCACCAAATATTTTCAAGCCTCGTCTTCAACTTAACAAAGGTTTTTTGTTTGCTTGTTTCTGTTTTAGCTGGCTTTATTTTCTGTTATACAGAATTGAAGCATACATTTAAGGCTTTTTGTTTATTTATTAAAGCTATTTGCTGGATTTAATCAGTTTTAGTTCTTCTTAAACTTAAACAATAAAAATAAATAAAAAAGTGGTGTTATTTATTTTTAGAATTCTGAGGCCCATATCTAGGCCATCTGTTTCATGGTCATTTGTCAATCTAATAAGCATGTAGGTGATCAGCCTCCTGTGCCTGACACGCACGTCTACTTTTTGGGCAAGGCGGTTTCCTCACGATGTTTTCCTTCACCGTTCGAGCGACTGATAAATGAGCGCATTGGTGCACAGCCGGGGATCGAACCTACGACCTCTGGGATAAGAGTCACACGCTGAAGCCACTAGGCCAATACTGCTCTTTAAATAACTTTCAAAAAATATATACTTCCAGAAAAGGACAAACTTATTGAAAAGTTTTTAATATTTATGTCTATCATACTTGTTGTTCTCGCCTTTCCGCTATCATTGATATGCATATTTGTGGTAAGTTTTTTAAACTGATATTATGTTTCCAATGATTTTTCAAATCTACAGCTTTATATCCAACCCTTTTTTATAATATTAATTTTACATCAAAACTGCTGAACTATTTGATGAGTTATGGACTTTGCATCTGCAAAGCATATGTTTAAATTTATTAGTAGAAATATGTATTATGTAGGTACATAGTGTGTCAAAAGCATTATACTGTAATTTAATTTCAGAGTAGTCGTCAATTTGAAAGAGCTGTCATTCTAAGGAACGGAAAAGTTCATAAGAACAAAGCTTTTGGCCCTGGACTGCTTTTTTACCTACCTTGTGTTGACTCTGTTAAATTCATAGATTTGAGGACATTCTGCTATGAAGTGCCACCACAAGAAGTAACTTGTTTATAGTATAGTTACTATTAGCTCGACTTGACCTATAGTTTTTACTTAATTTACGAGATTTAGCCACTTTATATTTACTCCTAAAAACTGCATGCATTTTTTTAGTATAAATTATGCTAATCGTACTTTAAACAATCCATCAAAACTGATTTCATAGAAAAAACCATACTAGCCGTCAAGTGCTTCAACAGATTTAATTTAGAACATTTATGAATGATTTTATGGTACTTTACAAATGGTAGTAGTTCCACAAAATGGATGCCTTGATGCATTCATCAAAAAATTTTCATATAAAGCCAGATCGTTATATTTTTTCCAGGCCTTAACCAAGGATTCTTTGACTGTGTCTGTAGATGCAGTTGTGTTCTATAAAGTTTTCGAACCAGTTTGGGCCGTCATCAATGTTAGTAACTACAGGTAATGTATAAGCGTTAAAATAGTTAAGTCAAAAATCATTTAATCATATAGGTTACCAAAATGTACACTTATGAACGTCAAAAAAAAGAAATGTATATGAAATGCTTCTAACTTTACATTTAGTGCCATTTCTCAAATGAAGTGCGTAGAACGGAAGAGAAGAACTGGCAATAAACTTTCCGCCACTCTTTTTTAATCGCCATGTTTTTTTACCCAACGGTTGTAAGGAGCTGCAACCATTACACCATGTTCCACATGACATCTTAAGTAATTAATAATAATAACATAAATTAAAAACAAAGACTTGTCCTCTATCAGCAGGAGGCATGGTGAAATAGGAGCACGCACTTACATTCTCGGGAACAACACGTTACACGACACAAAGACAAATACACGCCAAGACAGGACAAAGCACCGTTCTGAGATTTAGAATTGACACGTAGCATCTGACTTGCCTTGTTTATGACATACTTAGTTTTGAATCATGCTCTTGGTGCACAACTGAAATTGTAGATTGGAATGCAAAACAAAAAAAAGTGTGTGTGTGTCAGCTACGACGCACGATTGGAGTTTACTCCTTACGAACGATAAAATGGCGATAATGTTCTGTGGCTGTCGACCATATTTTCATACTAAAGGTGGTAAGAATATATGTTTTTATAATATAAATGTTTGTAGCAGTAATAAAACGTACCTACATCATCTATGCCCAAATAGGATTTTCTTTCTGTGACCAAAGTTACAATTTAGTGTAACATTTTTTCGTTACGCGTCACATTTTTCGTTTACGCGTCATGTTGCTTTTTGAAGTCAAACTTCTTTATCGGCGTTGGAATGAAACTTCTTTATCGACGTATGGGAGAAATTTTGTAGCAAATCGTCACGTTTTTCAATGATAGTAATAATTCTATTACAATTAATGAAATTCTATAATAATCTTCGTAGTAATAAGGTAAAATGAAATATTTGTATTCATGTCTATGATAATAAAAGCCTTTTGTTAAACTTTATCTAATTTAACGAATTTCTGTAAAGTTGCATATAGTAGATCATTTTTCGAAAAATAAGATCATAAAGAAGTTTCACTTCTTACGTGTGTACACCTAGTACACGCACAATTTATTTTTATTTACACCTGTCAACACTGACAATGTTGTAACGTGGCTGTCAAAACGTGAATTCAAAATGGAAAAGTCTGTGTAATGTATTCTCTCATTCTTTTACACGTTCAATCCTACAGATATATATTTTTGTCTCTTTCTACATAACGCCTCAACTTTTCGTGTTACACTTGATTTTACTCCTCATAAAATTTCCGTACCGGGCCTTATAACTCAAATCGTTTCTTAAGGAGTAAACTCTATATGTTTGTCTCTTTCTACATAACGCCTCAACTTTTCGTGTTACACTTGATTTTACTCCTCATAAAATTTCCGTACCGGGCCTTATAACTCAAATCGTTTCTTAAGGAGTAAACTCTATATGTTTGTCTCTTTCTACATAACGCCTCAACTTTTCGTGTTACACTTGATTTTACTCCTCATAAAATTTCCGTACCGGGCCTTATAACTAAATCGTTTCTTAAGGAGTAAACTCCAATAACGCTAATAAGTTTCTTGATCTGACTATTCTGTATGTCTTTTGACGGTCTTAAAAATGTATTTATCGTATCCAGGCACAGCGAGTATTCAAACGCACAATCTTCAGTATTAAGAAACTATCATAAATAGAAATCCAGTTAAGACGGTTGGGTTTCCAAAGAAATAGTTTCAATATAATTAGATTAATAAGAACATTTGATTTCAGAATCGCTACCCAATTCTTAGCGTCAACCACTTTGCGAAATGCGTTAGGAACGACAAAACTCAGCGATGTGCTTATTAATAGACCAGTAATTAGCCAACAGGTACTAGAACTTATGAAAAACACTACGAAAGAATGGGGTGTTAAAGTTCTCAAAGTTGAAATGTAAGTAAAGTATCTCCATTAAAACGACTTTATTTTTGAATAATGAGTCTTTAAAAAATATTCATTCTGCTGTGTAATGGTAGTTAAATGTTTGAATTTAATTTAATTCAGCAAATATACCTGAATGGTGTTTCGTTATTATGTAAACTAGCTTTTGTGCATATGTAAAATAATTATATTTTTTAGATTTTTCATTTAATTTGTTTGTTACCCTGTGGAAAAGGGGCCAGTTTTAGCTGTCATTTTAAACTTTCATTCAAATGTTTTTTTGTTAGAACATTTTGGATTATAAAAGAAATAGTGTTTGATTTCAAGTAAAAAATAAACTCTATATTTTGTATCGTAAAATACATATTTCAGCAACACATTTGAGTTTCATTCATCATACATATTAATATACTATTAGTACGTTTAAATATACAACATCAAGGTTTTATTGCGTTCATTATTAATCAAATTGTAAATATTTTAGTTGAGTAGTATTACAAAATAGAAATTAGAATAGAATATAGGTAGTTTAGATAGGAAAGAATGAATGAATTTATTTCAAATAACCAAGTTCTTACTTCTAATAACTTATCTTAAAAATGTGCATATTGATATTAAAATTATAATTAATCTACTCAATCTTCCTTGATGCTTGCTTGTCTTCCGACATGGGCCACTGTAGTCTGTCCTGGGCTGTCCTTCTCCAAATTTCTGCTATTTGGTTAAAGATCGTCGTAGTCCTTAGTCCATTCACGTATCTCTTATCGTATTGCCTGCCTATCGCCATTTTAATTGTTTCACACTGTATTCCATACCTTCCAGTAGTCTCACTCTGTATCGTCTTTTGATTTTTAGCACGCTTCCTTCAATCCCTTGCTGGCACGCTAATTTTTTTTATTTTTTTACTAAAGACCATGTTTGGCATCCACAAGTCAGGCAAGGTTTTATGCACATACCAAAAACTTTGCTTTTAAGTCTCAGGCATTTCGTAATTTTTCATTATACCTTTTATAATATTATAGGTAAGTTTTGCTCATAAATTATTGTTAATTTACAGAAAAGACATAAGACTGCCACTGCAGTTGCAAAAGGCAATGGCCGCTGAGGCTGAGTCGACAAGATTGGCTAATGCTAAAATAATAGTTGCCAAATCAGAAATAGAAACGATAAAAAATCTTCAGGTAGCAACCACTTTGTTGATGGAGAATCCCATGGGTATGCAAGTAAGATGTCATTTTCTTTGTCTATGATTGCTTATTGGTTTGTCTATTATTGTTCTTTAAGAAAGATGTTCATGAGCTCACCCCATATACACATCATCACATTACACAGCCGAATTGGGTATTACCTAGCTACATGTATTAATTTTTTTTATGTAACGGGGCAAACAGGCAGGAAGCTCATCTGATGTTAAGTGATAAAGCCGCCCATCGACGTTGGCTCGCAAGTGCGTTGCCGGCCTTTTAAGAATTGCTACGCTCTTTTTTTGAAGGACCCTGATTTTATCTTTTTGTAAATGTTTGAACCTTTTTGTGTGCCCTGTACACAAAATGGTTCACCTATTTTTCAAAATACTATGTTACTTAAGATTTTTTTTATTTTTTGTCCAATCTCTTGATTAGCATCAAAAAAACAAGGGGTGTCATTTTCACAATCTGGTTCGATTCCCAGACGAGACAAGTAATTTTTAGAAACTCTGAATGCAGTAATACTTATCAAAATAAAATATAAACACCCTTTTAAAGTTTCTAATGTTTTCCTTTAACTGAACTACGCCCAAGTATTAAACATAAACACTTCGTCCTTCAAGTCTTTTTTCACATCGTTACGTTGCATTATGAAACGGACATAAATACTTAAACAATTAATTTTAATTATTTTAGCTTCGCTATCTACAGTCCTTGCAGTTGATTGCCGGGGAAGGCACGCACACAGTTGTATTCCCATTTTCATTTGAAATGTTCCAGAAGTTGTTTAGTAAATAAAATTTTTGTTTAATAATATTTATTTATTATAAATAAATTAAGCTAGTTTATGATATGAACTAATAATCGCTTTCCCGTTCGTCATGTTTGTGTTGCGCGGGGGCAGGTCTTGGGGCTTGATGATTTGCGTGTTTGTGGACTGTTGCCTGAAAGATTTATTACTATTAGTATATTTGACGTAAATAAGTTATATTTAAACAACTTTAGCTAATAGGTACATTGGGACATTCCTCATGTCGTAAATAATTAGAACGGAGACTTTAATAAAAAGCTGTGGCGATCGTTCAAATTAGAATTTACATTGATGTACAATTCACACTCTCAATGCCAAGGAGATCGCGAGTACGTTGCCAGCATTTTAAGAATTAGTACGCTGACTTTTTCATCTGGTTTTACTAATTTAAAAAAAACATATTAATTACGGATAGACAGACATTAAATTTATTACTAACGATATACACAAAACAATAATAATAATTATCAAAAAAAATATGGAAAAAAAGGAATATGGTACATTATAAGTGTGTAATGATGTTGGGAAGCCCTGGTCAAAAGAAAAATAAAGTAATAATAATAGTTAAAACTAACTGTGTAAGTAAAGAAGTCTTCGTGTGTAAAAATATATAGTAAATATTAAAAAAATTGTTACTAAAACTACTATAATAGATAAAAAATATTTTTGGGCGGATTAAAAACTAGATTTCGTGGGATTTTTGTTCAGTAAGTAGATATACTAAATAATGAATAAAAGAAAATTATTACAATATTTACGAATACTACAGTAATAAAGACATGTAATAAATACCAATTTTATTAGACCAGTGGTTACCACGTTACTGATATCGTTAAACCGCACAAGGGCATTGGCTTTCTAAATATCTCAAATTATATTATAATTGAAATGATTAGCAAAAATGCCTAAGTTTCACTTGTTTATGCTATTTTTCTGTACTATGATAATTACGAATTAATCTCTTCGTAAACGCACTTAAAAAAAATAACGCATCTAGTGCGGTAACAATTATATAACCGGTCTCGATAATAAATAACGGACGTTACAGAGGATTTGAGCTGATGGGGAAATGTGAGAGAAGTTGGGTATTGTTTTATGCAAAATCTATAGAAATAAAAATTATATAGAGATTTTAAAAAGTTTGGTCCCTGTGGACCTCAATACCTTTAAACGCTTTAGGTACACTGCCACAGGGACTAAACTGTTGGGACCAAAGGGACCAAACTTTTGGGACCAGAGGGACCAAAAATTGTAAATACTGTATATTTGTTTAATAAATAATTAAATGTTATAAATAGAAATGAAATGCAAAATATATTAAGCGCATAACTCGAAGACGGCCAATCTAGTAATTTATAAATTTCATTACTAGCACTTCGGTTTTATACCAGAAAAGCGAACAGGGGCAGTATAGCCAAATGTTCCATATGTTGGTATGTAGCTACTAAAAGGTAGGCTAAGTATAAAATCGTATTAAGGCGACACGAAGTTCGCGGGGACAGCTAGGTACGATATATTATATATGTGTATAATTAAAAAGAAATTGTTTAATAACAATCCTTGACCATGATAAGGCTCTCATCATCAAGAATAACTCTAGCTATTCAAAGAGGGAACGCTGCCAGTATCTTCAGAACCTTGCCTAACGGAACTCTTTATAATAATATATTTTAGTAATTATTTTTTAAGGTTTAGGTAATTTCTAGGAAACATTTTTTTAGTTCAATAAAAATAACTCTCTACTATAATAAAAATAGGGGTTGATCGTAGAGGGGTGAAAATGAAAGGTAGTATGTATTTCTGTATGTCGTAGCATAAAAATAAAAACAAAAATTTTTGTCTAACAATTAAAAAAAAGTTTAATCACTTGAAGGTTTGAAATATAGTAACCGATTCTCAGACTTAATCAGACGGTCGAGCCGTTTCGCAGGAGTATGGGAACGAACATTGTGACACGAGAATTTTATAATGTAATGTAAGTATGTAATTTAAATGATATAAATTGTCAAAATAGATCAAACATTAAAAATAACGACTATTAACGCGTTTTATAAAAAACAAATGGTTTCAATTTCAAATTACTCTTTGGGTGCAAAGTCACCAGTTGAATAATTTTAAATTAACAAAAGTGGGTTTACTTACTTGAAAACCGTTTTTGGGATCAGCCGTGTACTTGACGAGTCTGAGGGAACCATCAGGCTCCACCAAAGAGTATTCTCCGTGTACGACATCGCCATCTCTGTATTCCTTGTGGTTCTGCTGGTTACCGGTGTGAGGATCGTCAACTCCATAAGCGTAGTGGTAATCGGGTTTCGCCTAACCAAACCAAACTCAAAATAACTTTGTTCATATAGGTAACCAAGTACACTTATAAACGTCAACGAATAAGATGTTGAATTGGTTCTAAATTTACATTTATTACCAGTTCGCAAGTCAAGGGCGCAGATCGGGCAAGAAGAACCGGCTAGAAACTCCACTGTTTTTAATCGCCAAGTTTTGAATCATACTGGGAAACTGAACTGGAGCAAATAAATCCCAAAGATTAGGATTATTTAAATAATCATCCAATTTATTAAAATTTTTAATAATTATTTTACGGCTAACGAGAGGTTTGAATTTATTCAGTGATAATAATTCTCTAATTTCGCTTGGGAGTTTGTTGTAAAAATGAATTCAATTTCCATATAAGGTGGTTGGTTATCTTATGAAGCCTGGTTGGACAAAGTAGTCACACAAACAATAAATTATTACATATACTTTTAATGTATTTTTGTTTGCGTAACTGGAATATTTTTAATCAAAAACTATTTTAAGATGTTCATATAGGTACCCATTATTTTTGTTATTTAAATAACTGTACTTACCACATAATCTACGGTTTTCAAACGGTCATATTTGGCTGTCTCTGGGTTGATCTTGCCCGCTTGATGGTCGTACCCATAGTCTGCGTGCTGCTGAGCCGGTACTCCATGAGCTGCAGGGACCTGGACCTCCACAATCTTGCCACTCACTGGACCACTAAAGCGGTTGTACGAATAACCTGGGGCATGACTGCAGTAGGCGTACGATGCAAACGCCATGAGCGCCAAAGTCTGAAAAATATAAAATATAACCTAATATAAGAATAATCATTTGCATCTACAAAAATTATTCTTGAATATCGTATTATTTATTAGTTGTCTCTAATGGAATTTTGAATACTGAATATTTATACAGAGAGCGGTAATCTACAATTTGAATTTAAATTAAACTAATAAACACGATTGAATTACATGTATCTTAGGAATGTACAGCAATAGGCTTAGCAATGCTATTGTGAAGAAAAAAGAAAATTTGTGTCACTTTCGTCAAGAGTAATGTAACTATCGCGAGCGACCTTCACGGTCAGCGCTTGTTGCACCACGACAACGGTGACACTGAAAAATTGAATGCCTTCGTGATAGCTTCACATTTCTGCTTTTTCAAAACATTTTTAATAACCTTGAAATTCCAGATGCGTTTACGTTTATAAATGATTATTTTTTTCTAATTTCGTAAATATTTGAATTATTTTTATTTTATAACGGGGCCAATGAATAATTAATGAAGAAGAAGAAATTAATGTTTAAACGACGACTGCTTATTGAGTTTGTAATTTACAATTAATAATTAAGCACATTATATTAGGTGTACATAGATAAAATAAAATAATAATACATTTAAATTTAAGTATGTAATATTAAACCGTCTTGCGGTCAGACAAGCTTTTTTACAGGTTTGGTTTGTGGTACCTTTTTTTATTTACTCATTTGGTTTGAATCAAAATAATACTACACACGACTCTGTATAAAAAATAATTTGATAATTAAAAGACCTATAGTGTAGAATATTGGTTTGAAGCAAAATACACATTTTCGTAAATTATAAATACCTTGAAAAATAAAGCCATTTTGTGGAGTACGATGAAAAATGTTTGCTTGATGTTCCTTGCGGGACTGACAACTGATACAGGCGCCGGTGCGGTTATATACCACTGAGATATTTAAGAAAGTATGCCCAATCGTGCATTATTGCAATAACTATGAATCAATATTTTTTAATATAGCCATCGAATCTTAGTCAATACTATCCCATGGAGAAATAGAACAGATTTCTTTGTACTTTAACCTAATATCAACTTTATGGTGGACTTTAGAGACATCAAATGTATGGAAATGACCAAGGGGAAGATGGGAACAGGGCGCCCAAAAAAAGGTGGATAGAAGAAATAGAAGCGGTAGCAGGAAACGAATGGAGAAAGAAAGAATTATAACCTCGTATGTCCAAAGAAACTAAAAAAATGTGTCAGTTCGTCAATGTTCGTTAAAATATTATTATTTTTGTCAATAGTTTTAGATGGTAAAATTTAAAACAATTAATAACATAAATAGCTTAGAAAACCAAGGAGTATCCGGGGCCTATATAAACATCATAAAACAAATATATGCTAACTGCAATGCAAGAATACAAATGGAAACACTCGGAAAGACATTTAAAATCGAAAGAGGTGTCAGACAAGGGGACCCATTATCTCCCAAGCTATTTTCTGCTGTGCTTGAAAACATATTCCGAAAACTAGAATGGAATGAATTTGGACTAAATATAGATGGGAGAAAACTACATCATCTTCGATTTGCAGACGACATTGTATTGTTCGAAGAGAACCCTCATAAACTTGGAGAAATGATACAAGACTTAAACAAAGAAAGTGAGAAAGTAGGCCTGAAAATGAACACAAGCAAAACAAAGCTACTATCAAATTCAATCCCATACGAAATAAAACTTAATAATCAACCTCTAGAATACGTTGAAGAGTACATTTATCTGGGGCAAATTATCTCTCTAACTGATATAACCACCAAAGAGATCAAAAGAAGAATAGCAAATGGATGGAAAAGATATTGGTCACTGAGGGAGATCATGAAAACAACAGATTTCAGCAAAAAAATAAAGAGAAAAGTCTTTAACACATGTATCCTACCCTGCCTTACCTATGGCTGCGAAACTTGGGCACTATTTAACCAGCACAGGGATATGTTAGCGCACTGCCAAAGAGCCATGGAAAGAAGCATGCTGAGCATAAGAAAATTAGCCCTCATGAAAAATGGAGCAAAATTGTGACGGAATGGTACCCTAGAGACGGAAAACGAAGAAGAGGTCGACCACGCAAGAGATGGGAGGACGAACTGAAACTAACAGCAGGCTACAACTGGAGAAGAGTCGCAAAAGATAGAGAACAGTGGAAAGGGTTAGAGGAGGCCTTTGCCAAGAGGCAAACCGAACTCCGAGATATACTGGAGTGAAAATATATTAGAGTTCAGATATATAAAATGACAGAGTTTCGAATTTAAAGGCTATATTATTATTATTAATAACATAAATAAGTCCTTACTACATGATTATACCAGTTTAATGACATAATGGGTTTTTGACATACCTACGAGGTTATCATTCTACAGTGACGATAGACGGAGTCAGTTGGTATAGCTGGAGGAGGCCTTTACCCGTGAAGGGCTTTAGATCGAAGTAAAAAATTGTATAAAAATGTAAAATAATCAACGCTGTATATTATATTTTTTTGTTATGATTGGAAATAAAACGGGCTTTGTTATTATTATTAGCCTAATATTTATAATATCTTTACAAAAAAATGCTACATAAAATATTTTATTTACATAACCAAACAGCTGATCTGACTTTCAAGCCAAATGCCATTGTGAGCCTGGAAAACCAGCCATGAGTTGCATCATTGATGTAAAGTATACAATATTCATTCGTACTATACAATTGCTAGTTGCTCGTATAAATTATACTTTCTGTTTAGATACAATCCCATACACGGGTTACTTGGGGAAATATTAAGTGTGGTGCAAAGCCGTAATTCAAACATACGACTTTAAGTTTGCACGGTCATTTCTGGATTTGGCTTATGGCAATTGGCAATTACTTTTAATACATTTAGTTCTTAACGTCTCTTCTTAATCCTCTTGAAAAGTTGTGTTGGTTTGTGTAGCAGCAGCACGTAAATTCAAATTGACAGAGGCAATTCATCTTAGTTTTTTGTTGCGATATTTATCTCATTACCAACAGTGGCGTTCAGAGGCATGGAGGGTATCTGACGCTATAATCGTTTGATAATATTTTAATTTCTTTCCGTACGATATAATTGCCAGGCAAATGGAAAATTTCGTTGCCTTTCAAAAGTTCCAAGCCATCTTTATAATAACAAGCATTTTCAAATATCACAACGCTGCGGTGTATTTATTCGACGGTCAGAGATACGCTTGTTCATCGAAGAGATTGACTTTTCTGATACTATTGCCACTTAATCTTGTTAATCCTACGAGATCTCGTCATGTTACGCTTCATATTGATCTCGAAAATCGGCACGATCCCGCAAGATCATTGCATTCCCTACTTGTAAACACGTAAACAAACGAACTCTTTTTTTGGTGTAAAAAAACCCGGAATCTGAACTATGTATATTGTATATGTATTATAAAGAATGTTTAAAAGTAAAAATGATTCAAAAGTAGAGAGCAGTTTTGTGTTCAGGACAAATCTTACATTATTCATGACATACCTAATATGTGTATCCAATATTGTATATAAACTAAAAGTGATAAAATATTTAAGTTATCGAGTAAACTTATATCGTACTTAACTATTTTTGTATTTTACAATTTAAGTGCATAAAAATAGGAATTATTTTTGAAATTCCTAACCATTAAAGCTATTTCGATCAAAGACATTCTCCGACGAAAATAATACTAATAATAATCAGTGGAGCTTCAACCTCTAGGTCTTGGCCTCAGATTTCCTCCTTTCCAGATTTCCTTCAGGTGATCAGCCTGACACACGCCGTCGACTTTTTGGGTCTAAGACATGTCGGTTTCCTCACGATGTTTTCCCTTACCGTTCGAGCAAATGTTAACTGCGCACATAGAAAGAAAGTCCATTGGTCCACAGCCGGGGATCGAACCTACGACCTCAGGTATGAGAGTCGCACGCTGATGCCACTAGGCCAACACTGCTCCGACGATAATAGACTCCGTAAAAATTATGAGGATCAAACATACTAATATCGTCACTAATATGTGACAGTTTTGAACCACGTGAGTGGCGTATTAGATTTTTTTATGGGACAGGAGGCAAACCAACAGGTCGCCTTAAATAAAGTAGTAACCGCCGCCCATGGACGTTCTTGTCGACGATTCGTGACGCTTTCGCCACACTCCAACCCGACATACAAAGGAATGGTTTAATTTGTACCCAGGACAGGAGAAGAGGTGTCGCCCGAATGGAAATTTAAGTGACTAAAGCGGTAAAGGGTTTGAAAAGGAGGGAAAGGATATGAGAGAGGAAGGGGAGACTGGAGAGGGGAAAAGATGGGCATCGGGAATCTCACTTACCGCACGAAACTCGAGTTTTTTTTTATTATGTTTATTTAGAATTTATTTTTATGTTCAATAAGCTAAGCGAAGCAGATAACTTAAATTTAAATATAACTAAATAAAATATGTTTATAGATTTTTGTAAGTTCTAAAAATCTATATAGTAGATCGACATTAGCACGCACTTATGGCGAAAGGCGGTAGTGAGTCACGCCAGTCGCTAATGATTTTGTTAAGCCCCTGAACTACCGATATCTGTCAAATTATTTTTATTGAATTTAGCGCCATCCTATTGGTATTCAAAGTACTAAGAAGATACTTTTAAAACTTGTTTTTACTCCATTTAGTTGGATTTTGCTAGGGTGCTAAGTTAATCTGTAGCACCTGTATATAGTGGCTCATATCTAAACTAACTTCACTATACCAAATTTAGGTGTTAAGGCATTTCTTTATATAAATTAAAAAAAAAAACATTCAAGGTAATTTATCTTACCACTATCAAAGATCTATCTATAGCTACTACTAGCTACTAACTATTCTGTATTGTGAGCTATCATTTATGTCAATTGTCTTAGGTTTATATTATGTTTTATAAATTTAAAAATTAAAATGCACAGATTAAAAAAAACGTTTTATAACGTATATTTACTAATACCAAACGAAAATTAACTTATCTCATATAAATAATTTAATAAAACACTTTTTTCCCCATTGTTTTGGTTAGTAGCAAATACATTAATGAGCTAATATGAACGAGTTTGAGTCCAAAAAGAAAAAGGCGAAAGTTGAACCTAAGAGAGAAAAGCGAGGTTATTCTCAGGAAGAGTCAACAAATAAACGAATAAAGCAAGAAAATCCTATTTTGTCTGAAGATAAAGAAAGTTTGAAAAGAAAGAATTTTGTAAGAGCTTGTAAACAAGTATCATACAATGCATTTATTAATTATCCCGAAAGATTTGATTTACTTTCTCTTCCTCTCTGTGCACAGTCACGTTGTATTCACCAAGATTTAAAGAACTGTGTAAGTTTTTTTGAAACAAAATTAATTGAATACTTCAAACTATTAAATAATGTTAGGTTAACCTTCCTTTAACTTATCTATTCCTGTTACTATACAATTTCAGATGGTGAAGCAAGTCCCTGGAAGAGTTGAGGAACTATTTAAAATAGAAATGAAATCGAACATGTGGTATGAAGCTCTAGACATATGCCTCCTGTGTATTACCCCTTCAAATTACTTATCAGACAATATTCTTAAAGATATTGTGGAAATTATACTAGTAAGTTTTAAGATATTTTAGTTTGTATTCTACATGATTATATTTATTATATTTGAATATTAGAAAAGCAACATCTAAATTGATAAACCAGTTTCTATAATAAGTTAATGGATTTTAAAAGAAAGCTCATTTTTGTTCTTATTTTATTTATGCAATATTTATTATTAAAATTGTTAGTTTAATTGAAATTGTTAGTTTAATTAATATTCAATGATATATTTTTATCTTATAGAATGCTCATGAAGATTCAACTTGGAACTATTCAATCTCAAATTTGTTAGGAAAATGCCAACAAATATTATCATTAAATTTTAGTATGCACCCTCCATGTGCAATGAAAAGTATTAGAAAATGCTATATAAATTTTTTAACCTCTCCAATGGATCTGAAACAGAACACTTTTACAGACAGAACTAAGTATGAATCTAGCAAAGGCATTGTCAAGTACTGTGTTACAAGATTAGAAGCTGAACTAAATCCAGAGATTAATGAAAATGCCTTATTTGATAAACTTGAAAATACTCCAGATAATATTAAAAACAGTGTACAAGGTCTTCATTGGCAGAAAGAGAAATTTGAAATTTTTGAAATGTTGATCCGATCTGAAAGAATTGAAAGGATAATGACAGTTTTAGAAAGCTTAATAGAATTATTACAATATGATCTTGCTATTTGGCATTCAAGGTTAAATTAAGTTTTCCAAAAAATATATATTTTTTAAATATCATCTCTATTATTTAACATTTGTATATGATGTTCACAGATATACGAAAAATTTAGGTTCACATTTAATGAGATCGAATAAACCTCTGATGGCTCATATACTTTGGTCTCAAAATATTTTGTATACTGGTGCTGTTACAAATAACACAAGGCAAATCTTGAAATTGTTTGTACATTTTGTTCACCTACAATATCCAGAAAGGCATATTAAAACTATGACTGTAAGTATTTCAAGAATCTTACAGTGCAGTGCACTTAAGCTATTAATAATTAATCTATGATATCTTTCAAAAATTTATTATGTTCAGTAATCTATATCAATACACATATAAAGTTTTTTATTTTTTTGTGACTCAATTAAATTATTATTATTTGAAAAATTGTATTATGAAAAATAATAATTTTTTTACCTAACATTTGTAAGACCTTAAAAGAAACTTATAATTAATATATTGTTACACTTTTCAGATGTGGTTGAATGCTGTCATTCAAACGTTTTATATTTGTGAAAATAATTCAAATGGCGACTACCCAAATATTGGAAAATATTCATTAGCCTTTACTAATGAGTTTTACAAAATGATAACAGGTATCATATTTTGTTTCTTGTGATTTTTTTTCTTATAATAAACAATCAGTGGCACAGCATCCCTCGGTCCACTTTTAAGAATGCAGCCTATTAGCCTTTAATGCCTGACATACTCGAAATGCTCGAAAAAACTCACCTCACGGTTGAGAATTAATTTTAGATTTTTCAATTTTTAATTTGTTTCACATATAAACTATGTTAAAGGATAAATATATTGTTTATTCTTGGTGGAGCAATACTCACCAAACAACCAGAGCACAGCTGTTGGCCCTTTTGGCTAAGATCCTGTTTAACATGATATTTAAAAAATGTAATTAATTTGATAATTTGAGGACTCTACAATTTTTTTAGCATTGCCACAGGCCTCTATTCTGAGAATATTAGAAAGATTACAGCCAAGCTTCATGAGATACTTGATAAGTAAAAAACACCTACAATCCATTCTTCCATCAAATGAAGACGAAATTATTGGAATGTTTTTATACTTTATAAAAAACAGACAATGGGAAGAATATCCAATATGTAAAGATTTTAACTTCACAATAGAATTGAATGTGAAGCAAATTAAACCAAAAAAGATATTGGCCTATCTTACTAAACAATGTATCTGGAAAATTAAAGAAAGTAAATTGATTAAAATGGAACCCAAAATTTTATACCCAAAACTAGACACCAACTATGTAGAAAATAATATAGTTAATCAGAACTATCTTATTTCTATACTTTACATAGCTCTACAAGGATTTTTAGATGCATACAGTATTCAACAGATTCAAGAAATATGGGAAGAATTAAATAAACAATTAGACCAAGATATGCTTCATGATTATTCATCTGCAACTAATATGTACTCTGTTAGTGAAGATTTCGTTAAAAAATACAGATCTATCTATCAAATATTTCAAGAACTTGTGATGATTTTGCACCAAATAAAAAATGATGGCAGTTTTCCTGATATACTAAAAATATTTACAAATATTAAACTATTAGGATTGTAGTGAAATTTGTATTACTCCTGCAATGTTGTATTAGCCTTACATCTACCTCATGTTATAAAAAATATACGACACTTTAAAAGCTTTTATTTTCATATTACTTAAATGCTAACTTCTCAGTAAATTGTAACATTATACAAATATTGAATTAGTATTTAGGAAAATAATGACCTCTGGCTTTCCTCGTCCTTTTTGCCTTTTCAATATCTACATCTGGATATTCTGCTGTTAAAACACCCATATCCATATTGGGAAACCGCTTAAGCAGCTGTTGAACATGGTTGTAATTTCTATTACGTGCTTTTCTGACTTCATTATGCTTTTTTTCATTGTAAAGCCTTAAAAATTTCTTGACAGCAACACTATTAATATATCCATGCTCTAGATATGGTCGTACCCACCTTGTATTAATAAACTTAGGTAAATAATACTCTTTTTGCTGATATTTCTCTTTTAATCCAAAAGCATTAACAACATCATCAGCTGGTCGCTCACCAGTCTCACCTGTCTCTAACTTATAATATGCAATATTTCTCTCCCTCACCACTGTTTCAATATTATTCATTGAGTCTTGGACTTTGTCAATTCTTTCGGGATTTGGAAACAAACGTACATTTTCATTACATTCATGTTCCATAGTATACAGCATGTTGCGTTCCTTTAGCAGAACATACCATAATTTATGTAAATCGGTGTTAGATTTAATCCGTAGTTCGTCTAGCCTCCAGGCTCTACCAACCTTTATATTAGTTTCATTCCAATTCTTTTTAATATCAAAGAATTCCATCAAATCTTTTCTCTCTGCTGTTGTATGAAATGACTTTGTTTTTGATGTCACATTAGAGGCTGCAGTACTGTTTTTTGTGTGTAGGCATATTGAAAATGTTCTTCGAGTAAGTGACTTAAATAAGGAAAAGTTCATTTCGGTGCAGGTATTAATAATAATACTATTCTTTTACGTATAAAAGATTTTAAGTTTATAAATTTAAAATAATAATTTATAACCTTTTTGACATAAGTATATAAAGGGAATATGGTTAAAATTGTTTGACAATTGACATATGAGTATTGTTTGTCAGGTTCAGAAATTTAATGACATAACGAACTGGGAGTTCGGACGGCATACTGAAGCGCTGTTAAATTTTAAGGTAAACCTAGAGTAAGAGTATGTGAGGAAAGAGACCCATTCTTAACGTAACGAAGTACGGTGTTGTCATTAAAATCTGCTATTATACGTCAAATTCCTCCGTCATGTTTCTGCAAAAACTTAAAACTTTTTATCATAATACAATTATTGTTGTAGTAATCCCGATGAAAATGTGTATGTCTTACTTGCTAATCTATAATATTATGTTGATTCAAAAAATCAATCATTTAGTATTTTACTCTATATTTTTATTTCTATGCTTGCAAGTGTCAGTTGTCATCATTGTTGACTATCGCTAATTTTGTTTGATGTTTAATGTCAATAGTCATATTTAGCATCAAATTGTTTAGTAAGAAATGAGTAATGATGTAGTGTTTTTGTACTTTTTTGTTTATTTTTCGAAACAATTAAGTTTTAAAAACATAAGTTGTAAGGACTAAATTATTAAATAATTAATATAGTGCATAGTTATGTATTCATTGTGTTTTTAAAACGATTTCACGAACCTCAAGTCTTCTTTACGGATTCCACGCTAAAGGTAGGCTACTACAACCTAATATTAACTTAAGAACAGGGATTCTGTTATGCAAGGCGGGCTTTTTATGTAACTGATTATAATATAAGAGACAAACATAATGAACGATTTTTACTATAAAATTACTCAAGTCACTTTATTGGTTATGTTAATTTTACTCTTAGAAGTTCAACTACCTATTTAAAGCTTTTTTTCTTATTGATATTATTTAAAAGACATTTATAAAACCAATATTTACTTATAAAAGTTGAATGTGCCTCTCTGTATTTAGCCAAAGATTAAGTTAAATATACTTTTTAACATTACAATTTGTCCATACACTTTAAAATATCCTTTAATAACGTAAATAGGTAAATTTTATTGAAAGTGTAATTGGTACTGTGTTTTTGTTGTTAATTTGAAATTATTAAAAAAAAAATATAAACTATTTATTAAATTATATATTGACTAACATTGTCACTGAACAACTAAATATTGTACATATTTACAGTAATAACTAATTTTATTACTTTCATATTGAATAAAATATATTAATTAATAATAATTGTAGTTTATATTTTGTATTGGCTTATGTTACATCTTTATGTTGGTGCAGGATTAGGAAGTAAAAAAATAAAGTTTGGAATAATAAAAGTTTTTTTCACAGTATTATATTTCTATAAATTAGAACATATCCACTCAAACTCACAATTAAGTAATATGTCTGCAGAACTTACATGGTTAAATATTTTTTCAAAGTATAAGTTGTATAAGTTAATAGCCTCAAGTTTTAATAATGTCTATTGAAAATTAATTTAAAGTTGTATTTTTATCTACATCTTTAGTTTGTAGCAGTTCAATGCATTCCATTTTAAGTAATCTTGAAAATATTATTATACAAATTTGAAAAAAAAATAACTTTTGTAATGCATTCATAAGACATAAACTTGTAGCTGTAAACTTTAGTATTTCTATAATCCCAGCAAAGATGTTAACATTTTAGTTGTTTTTCCGAAGAAAAAAGAAAAAAAAGAAGTGAAAAGAGCCAAAAAACCGAGAGCTCTAAATTAGACGTCAAAAATGTTACTTAGTATGTGTAACTTATTTTTATATTGTAATAGATGTTGTTATAGGGTATTCTAAGTTATAAATCATCCTCGGTATCAATTAATTGTATTCCCGTGGCTCATTTAAAGTAGTTGTTTCATTACAGGATCATTCTAATGAATACAACAACTAAATTATCTTATTACACAATTTTTTAACCCATCAGTAGATGAAAATTAATGTATATATATTATATTTATACATATTACACATAATAAATACTATATATACTTACCACCTATATTCTGATTTCTGAATGGAACTTGCTACTTTATTTAATATGCTAAACTTTTTCTATTGATTGACTAGATAGGAGTTAGGACCTGCTATAAATGGAATAATCAAATTAAAGTATTATACTTGTTTATTTAATGCAATGCAATAGTTCTGGGCTCAATTTACAGAAAAACTTATAATTTTTTAAATGAAATATTATGGTAGTATATATATATTATTTTAGATAAATTTTTAGTGATGTAATAGTGAATTGGCCAGTAATCTGGCAACCTTTTTTCCTTCTGAATTAACAGCAGTTACTTAGTCCCTAGTAAAGACTTGAATATACATATATCTTTTATAGTAATTTTACGAAAATCATTGATCATTTGTATGCTGGTAATAGATAAGTGTCACCTTCTTGACAGTTTTAGTCTTTCTTTAACAATTAGAATGCTATATGAGTATCAGTAGCATATTTATTTCTGAAACATTAAAAAAATTAAATGTCCCAGCTGTGCTATGTCAAGATAGGTTGATACTGTATAATTATGTCTGTATATATCTCTGTTCAGGCATTAACTAGATACATTTCTGTTTTCATAATGTTTTCAGCCAACAACTAGGTTGTTACATACAGCTAATAGTTGTTTTTTTTCAATATGTAGTATTATTATAAATTGCAAAATAGGGTATAAAACTTTTTGCAACCGTTGGCAAAGAGGGCTTTAGGTTGTATCGTCATTTTCGAAATGAAAAAAAAAAAGTAGTTAATAATAAATATTACAACTAAACCTGTCTTAAGGTAAGTTTGTTTCTCAATTACCCTATTATTATTGTAACTGTTTTATTTTTTCAATATAGTAATATTTTCGTGTATAGCTCTTAGTCCAAGTTGATCAGATGACTAAGGCAGAACAATTGTATAGGTCTTGGCCTCAGATTTCTGAATCTGTTTCATGATCATTTTTTAAATCTAATCGGCAAGTAGGTGATCAGCCTCCAGTACCTGACACACGCCGTCGACTTTTTGGATCTAAGACATGTCGGTTTCCTCACGATGTTTTCCTTCACCGTTCGAGCAAATGTTAAATGCGCACATAGAAAGAAAGTCCATTGGTGCACAGCCGGGGATCGAACGGGATCGAACCTACGACCTCAGGTATGAGAGTCGCACGCTGAAGCCACAAGGCTAACACTGCTGTCATTTTTAAATATTTAATTTACTGAAAAAAATTTTTTTCTTTCAATTAAGTTTTGAGTTTTGTTAGACGTATATTGTAAGAGAAAGATTAGATAAACTACAATGTGACTATCTGTATATTTGCCGTACATTCAGCCTTATCGTTCACAAATAGTATATTACCCAAATAGTGTAATACCGACAATATTACTTTCATATATATATATATAAGTTATTGAGGGTGCCACTTAATCCTTCTTTCTATCAAAGTATTAGTTTTACATCACATTTGTACCTTATTCGTAAAAGTTGACGGCTCAGGTACAGAAACTTCTGAATAAGTGAAAAAGTTTTCTTATAAAACTCGGATTAAAACATATAAGTAAAGGCTATAGCTACACGATTGGTATATATATCAAATGTTTTGCTATTTGTTCAAACGCTTTATATTGTACTAACAGATAAGTACTAGCCTGGGCGTCAGATTTCTTAATCTGTTCAGTTTTCAAACCAATAGGCAAGTATGTGATCAGCCTCCTGTGTCTGACGCACGCCGTCTACTTTTTTGGACTTAGGCAAGCAGGTTCTTCACGATGTTTTCGTCATCGTTCATTGGTGCACAGCCTACGACCTCAGGGATGAGAGTCGCACGCTATCACTATCACTATCTATGCTCGTGAAAAAATATTATCGAATTTGGAATGGAAAGTTGATAGAATACTTACTGTGATGCTGAAAACCATTTACCTAAGCATATTTTGTGAATCTTGAGTGGCATTTTCAAAGGGTCGCAGATCGAAAGCTATTGGAGCGAATAAATAAGCGTAGATACCTAT